ACACCACTTTTTAAAGTACTTAATTATTATAAGTAGTTTTTAATTATAAACCTTATAATAAAGCTTTAATTTATATAGCTAATAAAAATAAAAGGCCACGGGGTGCTAATAATCCCGTTTTTTTTTACTAGGTAACTTTTTTTGCTTTAGCTGCGTAATAATTCTAGTAATAATAAATCTTAATATATTAATAATAATAAAAATCTTTTTTTTAAAATTAAAGTGTTATAGTACTAGCGGCCTAGTAAAGTTTAACTTAATTTTTTTAAACGCGTTTTTCGCGTTAATAAGAAATAAAAAAGGCCTGCTTTTATATTTTTTTACTATTCCTACTAAAAGCTGGGTTATTAAACGCGTTACTTTAGCATAATTAAAAATAAAGTGTTAAAAATAATTTATAAAGCCTAAAAAAACCTATAACTTATAAAATAATATTAATTTTAGTTAATTAGTAATAGTCCGGCTGCGGTCTGGATTAATAAATATTTTTTTTTATTTAATAATAAAGCCTAAAAACTTCACCTCCTTTTTATAAAAATTATATTTTAATAATTTTGCATATAAATTATACCTTTTTAATTAATTAAGGACTTTCTAAACATGGTGCACATGTTTTTTTTTTATTTTTAAAAAAATAAGAATATTATTAAGGTAAATAATATAAAACTTGTTAAAAATCCCGCTTATAGCTATATTTATATAAGATTAAAACGTAGCTAGTGTATTTATTAAGCTAAAAGGCATAACTATATACTTATAGTAACCATAATAGGTCTAAAATATTATTTTTTACTTATCTTCTTTTTTAATTTATATCTTATAATATGCGTCATGTAAATCCAGCTTAGTAAAATATCTTATATTTATTAGTTAATTTATTAGCTTGTTAATACGTGGTAATAAATAATAATTTTTATTAATTATTGTATTTAAACCACGGTAGTTAATATAAAAATATAAAGATTTATTAGGTTTTTAAATAAAAAGTACCAGCGCTCCGGCGTTGCTTTAAAATAGCTTAATTTATTTTTTTTTAAGCATCTTGTTAAGATACTTTTTTAATATTTATAACTTATATTAAAAAAGATTATAAATAAGACCCTATAAAGGCTTTTTATCTTTTTTTAATAAAATCTTATGCTTTACTTTACTAGTTAAAAGTTAAGTAGCTTCTTACTTAAAAAAAACTTTACTTTAGTAAACATACTAGGGTGGCAGGACCACCTTTACTTTTTTTTTAGTTTTTTTTAATTAATAAAGCACTATAAGTACCAGTCCCTTGTGCATAGTTTTTATAAACTTTTATAATATTTTAATTTTAATAAAAGGTATATGGTTTTGCCAGGTCCATTCCACCATAATAAGGTAAAAATTTAAATTTAATTTAACTATCTAGGGATATCCTAGGACTACTTAATAATTTTTATAAATAAAATTAATAATATAATATACTAAGTTAAATATTTTTATAACTTTTTTTAAATTATAAACCTAAGTACAGGCTTATAAACACCTATAGTAAGAAGTAAAAGTGCTATTAGTATATTAAACTAGCTATATTATACGGTTAGTATTTATTTTAATACCTTGCTTTTATAAATATTAAACTAAAATAAAATTAGTATTAGCCCTAGTATTAAGCAGTGCCTTAAACTATTAATTTACCTTATTTTTTTATATTTTAAGATTTACAAGATAAAAAAAGTAATTTTTTTTTTTAAATTATATAACTTTAATAACTTAAGGCCAGGGGATTACTATTTATTTTTTACTAGTTTTTTTTTAAGCTTTTTCTTATTTAAACAGGCCTTTAACAAGTGGCCTAATTTACTATAATTAAAATAAAGACCCTTTTTCTTGCAGCGCTCTTTTTTTTTTTAAAAAAATAAGTTATTACTTTTTTTTTTACCCTTTTTTTTTTCCCTTTTTTAAAAAAGCCGCTCTGCTGCTGTTTTAGTTTTGTCCTAAGTTATCCTTATTTTTCTTATTTTTAAAGTTAAAACCAGCTCCGGACTTTTTTTTTTTTTTAGCCTTTAAGGCCTTATTATACTTATTAATAAATTTTATATAAATTACCGCTGTATCCACTTTAAATATAGTTTTTAGGGGTTTTTTTAACTTTTTTAAGTATAAGTAAATATTTTTATTATAGGTTTTAATAAGTACTTGCGCCCTAAACTTTAAATTATTAAAATATAAGCCTAACTTTATAAAGCAGAGTCCCTAAAAAGTAGTATTTTAAGTACCTTATTATTTAATTAAAAAATACTAGGTGGTGTAATAGCCCTAGTTTATAACTAGGTTAACTTATATATATATAAATTTCTTAAAATTTGCCTAGGTCTGCTTGTTATCCTAAAGTTTAACTTAACCTTTTTAATAATTACAGGCATTTTTTAAAGTATTTTAAATAATAAATATAATTTTTTTATTATTTATTTAAAATTTTTTAGGGGTACTATAAAAGTAATCCTTTAAATTTTTAAACTAAATTTTAAGTTTTATTATATCCTTCCCTTTTAACTTTTTAACCTTTCTAAACTTGATTTTAGGCTCCTAAAAAGCCTTTTTTTTTTATAATAAAGCTTATAATTTTTTATAACCTTTTAATACCTTTTTTTTATATATTTAAAACTTCCAAACCCCTTAAAGCCAGCATTACTAGCATTAAGTTTTAAAAATAAAGTAGCTTTAAAATAATAGCTTAAGTTATTTAAGCTTAACTTTAAACTAAAATTAAAAAAATTACTAGGGTTAATTTTTTTTAAAACTTACTAAAAATATTAATAAGAAAATTAGCGTGGGAATTATTAAAAAAATTAATATAAAAATTAATAATTTAATATTATTTTAGCTTTRGGTTACAGGGGTAACTTTTTCTTATTTTTTTTTAAAAAATATTTTAATTTTAACACGCGATATTAATTATGTTAAAGTTAAAAAATAAATAAACTAAAAGTTATAATTTTAGGCCGCTTCCCCTTTAAAACAGCTTTAATTATAATAAATTTTAAATTAATAAGCTTTAATAGTAATATAAAATAATAGGGTAAAGGGTATATTTTACCCTATACTTTACTAAGCTAGTAAACTAAATTATTTAAGTTAGGTTTTTTTCTTTAACTATTTTTAATAGTAATAAAATTTTTAAGTATAAATAAAAAAGGGAACACTTCTTTAGCTATTTAAGTTTAAATCTTAAAAACCTTAACTAAAACACCTATAAACCGCCTCCGCTTACCCTTTAAAAATTTAATTTAAAATATTATTATTAAAAAAGTTTAAAAAATAATAGGTAAAAGCAACTCTAACTATAAGACTAATAAGTTTTAAAAATCTTTATTAATAATAAAAATATTAATAAAAAAATCTAACTAATAAAAATAAAGTATTTTAAACCCCGTTAAATAATATTAAAAAAGTTACTTAAAAATTTTAATAAAAACTAGCCTTAAGGCCATTTTTATAAACCTTTAAGCTATACTTAAGCTATTCCTAATTAAAAAGTAAATATAAATTTAAATACTTCACGCACGGGTTTTTACTTTAGCTTATACTTAGGGCCTACCCTAGCCTTGCCTAACTAATAGCTAAAACCCTAAATATTAATAACCTAGTTAAGTTATATAACCTAATATAATAATAAGGTATGCCAAGCCTTGGCGGCCTAAGGCTAAAGCTCAGGCGCTAACTCCAGACCAATGGTGGATTGGCTCCGGTGACGTTGAACGGAAAAACGTTGGCCCTGACATTTATTTTTAATAGTTAACTAGGAGCTCACAGTGGTAAAGCTATTAATATTTAACTTATTATTATTTTTATTAATAATAATAGCCAGCTGCGGGCGCCTAGCCAGCAGGCAAGGTATAAATAATAGTAAAAACATAGTTATTACAAGCGTGAAAGGGGGTATAGGGGTAATAAAAATTATAAGTAATAATAAATATATTAAAAGCAAATAAAAAGGTTAGGATTTATTAAAAGTAATTATATAAGCTACTTAACTAGCTACTTGCTAGGTATATTATTATTTTATATTTTTATAATATTATTTTACTTATTATAAGTTATTAAATAAGTATATACTATAGTATTAATAGTCTAGCTTTAGCTATAATAAGCACGGTTATTATATATTTAGGTTAGTTTTATTAAAAGGGGGGTGTTAAGTAAGTAAATTAAAAAAATTAGTAACTATAGCAAAGCGCTTTTTACTTTTTTAAAGCTAAGTTAATAATAATAATAAATAAATAAAGCCGCGCAAACTTAAAGCGCCTATTAATTTTTATATTTATTATAAGTATTAGTAAGCTTATAGCCCGCGGCGCGTTAAAATTATATTATTAAAAGCTAATAACTATAGCTAGTGCAGTAAGCAGTTAATATTATATTTAACTTTATAAATACAGGCTATATAGTATTTAAATATAAAAAGTAAGGCTAGGAATATTAAATAATAATATTATAAGAACTTAGTAGCAAGAATAATTATATAATAATACTTTTTTTAAATTAATTATAGCAAACCCAACGCCGCGATGTCTAGGCGGTAAAAAAAAGTTATATAATAATACTTTTTTTAAACTAATTATAGTAACCCTAAGCAATTCTACTGTTTTACATAATCCCTAATAAGCTCACGTGACCGGGAGCCGGGACCTACGATTTATCGTGCGCGGGCCTCCACTTCGTTCCGGCCTCGCGCAATTATATGGCAAGGTCGATGCGATTGGACGCAGCGGTGGTTGTATGATTAGCGGTGGCGAATGAAGGCGTTGGATCCTTAGCACTCAGGGTATGCTCCCGCAATTGCAAACAGCTGTCCGTCGTTCAAGGGGAAATATGAAAGTACATAGACATGGTTTACGGATGCAAAAGATACCGCCCGTATACTCAAAAGACTCAACCCCCAACCAATGCCAAATCACCCTCCAATCGCCTTCGACAAGTCTGACCAAGCCTCATTCATGCCTCATTCCAGTTCATTGTCATGCTGCAGCCTAATAAAGCGGCATGGGCGCCGTTTTGTCGAAGTCAATATTATCTTTCGCCGACTCGATCCGATCATGACAGGTGCCGAATATACAATCCCAGAGGCGTGTCTGTTTGCCGTAGTTGTAGCTCTTCCTGTAGCCCTTGCGATGGTGCAGGTCATGGTCCTCAATAACGATATCCGCGTTGAACAGGTTTAGCAACCAACCTAGAGTCGAAGGGGCTGTACCATGTACTCGAAGGCCGCTGTGCCCCAGGACTTCCGTAAAGGCGATATATTCATGGCAGATCCACCACTCGTAGAAGCCCATTGGTAGCCCGAACGCCTTGAGAGTCATATAAGTAAGAAACGGGACTCCGACCATGTCGAAGAACTCTTGTTCGTGATCGGCATAGGCCGAAAGCAGGGGGTTTGGGTGCTTGGTCAAATGGTGGGTACGATGAAACTTCCAGAGAAAGTCCACATCGTGCATCGCCCGGTGGTACCAATAGAACCAGAAATCAAGAACAATGCCGTAGAGGCCAATCTCAAGGGGAAGCCATACCCAACTCATCTGCGCAGGCAAGCGACTGGCATTGTAGGAAAAGTAGATGGACATGGCAAGCCGCGAGCCTGTCGTCTTATAAAGTGATTGTACAACTTTTGCTATGCCAACATCGGGGATACCGTCACGCTCGTGCTTGTCACCATCCAGAAAGCCCCACTTGTGACCGAGTCTTCGGAGGATATGCACTTCGTAGATGACAATAGCGTTGAAAGCAAAAAAATAGTAGTTGAATGCGGCGAGAGGACCAAGGGTGTAACCGGTATAGGACGAAAAGACTTGATGGAGGAGGAGAGGGATAGTCGAATATATGAGCACAAAACGATGGAGAGACCATTGAGGTACATAGGGCACTTTGTCGTCTTTTGGGTGCACTGGAACCTCGCGGTCACGGTCGATGTGATAGACATTCAGGAAGTCTATGACATGGTGGTAAAAGTTCCAGTCGTCTCGATTACCATCTCGCCAAGTGGACTTCATGGAGTCCTTGGGGTTGACTGCAGTCATGGCGTAAATAGTGTAGCTATGGTGATATCCGGTTCCTCTTCCTCACGAGAGAGGAACCTCGCCATCCTTATATTATCGTAATGGAGCCCTGAGGCTCGGAAGCACAAGCTCGTCGTAGGATGCATGTGATGAAATTTCAGGCTTGACGATCAGATCTGTCTTGTCTCTGCAGATCTCTTATCCCAACAAATCCAGACACCGCGATAGAAGAGTCCATTAGACATTAGTTTCGAGGGCCCATACCCTATCGAGTATCTAACGCGATTAAGTAATAATCCGCCCACATGAAGAAGGGGTGTTCTTTGGGTCAGCCCCGCAAACCCATGCCTCGGGATCGCCGATTAGCTCGCAAGAATGTCATTTTTGGGATAGCGGACTCGGTCTCTCGAGAGGTGGAGGGTGGGATTTGGCCATGGCGCATGTTATTGTCGAGCCACCGGACCCCGCGTCACGGGGAATCGTCAACGTGATCATGAAGGACAGCGGGGAAGCGTTATTCAAGGATTGGACCAAGCTTCAAAGATCAACACCAGATTCAAGAGAGACGCAACCGCGAGCATTGGTTCGTAAAGCAATGTTAGACCCCCATAACAAAGCTCGAGTGAGAACCACCTTGGGCTTTCCGAAGGGCAACGAGCCACCATGTCGGATGATTACGGAGTACCATCGGACCGTGTAAGAAGCCGAGAAGGTTCGAGCCAGGACAGACGGTTCGGACAAAACAGTCAATGATCTTGGGAGATTGGCCATGATGTCGCGTTCGATTGCCTCAGTCACTGGAGTTGACTAGAGGAGTTGTGTCACAATTCCCCCGACAACGGCATTATGGCATACCTCGGTAAGTGCGCTAATCCCTTTTGGGAGCCCGCTGCTCGTGTTGGGGAAAATTGAGTGAACATCGTCACTCCTGTACGTTAGATTTGAAGGTGGAAGATGGAGTCATCAATCTATTCTTTGGCCTGGGCCTGGTCCTGGCAAGAGTTAGCAGAAGCTGTGTGGAATGGTCCTCAGCTACCACACGTCTCCCGGATATATACTTCCTTTTTGACCCTGCGAGAACATCACCGAGATAAACAAGTTTACATACAGCCTTTGACTATCATTAAGAAACAAATTAAATAATCAAGGCTCACAATGGCACCGTCAATCCTCGCCACCTGCAAGCAGACCCGGTTTCACATCCTCAATGACCAAGCGTCCCAAGAGGTCTGTCACTTGTTTCCTTAACCAGATTAGGCCCAGAACTCAGTCTTTTAGGTTGATGTCGAGGGTCTTACTATTGCAGTGTCCTCACACATGCAAAGTGCAGAGGACTCTCCAAGTACAAAAGCAAAGGGGAAGTCAAAGCTCAAGGCTGAGACAAGAGAACTCATCAACGATGCGCACCTACGGCTCAAAGCCGGCGTGCATTATGGGCTGATAGGTCGGAATGGCACTGGAAAATCGAGTATGTGATCCATTAGTGCATGGTGTTCCCGGATAATGAACTGTGCTCGTAGCGCTTCTGCGAGCCATGGCAGATAAGCTGGTGCCGGGGATACCGCAGGCAACCCGGATAGCTATCCTGCAGCAGACAGACACCGAGAGTCATGGCGGCCATTTTGAAAGCGAAGGTCGGGAAGAAAAGGAGAGAAAGTCCGTACTAGACTATGTGATGAGCAGTGACCGTCACAGAAACGATGTCATTTGGAAGATGAACTGTAAGGACGTTGCTCTTGTCCTAACCATCTTCTTCTGACGATGAACGCATATACAAGTCCTGTCAAGGAGTCTGGAGATAGAAGACCCGTTAGAGCCTGTCAGAAGAATTCGAAGGCTTCGTCATGACGATATAGAGAAGCAATTGTTACTTGCCCAGAAAAGCGCCGATATGAAGAGTGGCGCGCGAGGACTGCAAGCGCGCAAAAATTTGGAAGTCGTGGAGTCAAAACTACAAGGCTCCAAAGAGCTGTGAGTTGCTCCCTGTCTTTCGCCTCCATAAATAGCTAAATTTCACAGGCTCGAGCAAGCAAAGGAGGATATCGATGCCGAGGCCATAAAACAAGAGACTCAGAGTGCGATGGACACATTACACAACCTGCAATCGCAGTTTGAGGCAGTGAGTGTCGATTGGCTAAGATCAAGCCTGAGGGTTGCTAAAGAGAGATTAGATGAAACTCGTCGACATAGAGCAGCAAGCTCGCCGAATACTTATTGGTCTAGGTTTCAACGAGGACGCCTTGAGTGAACCATTCTCAACACTATCAGGTGGCTGGCGAATGCGGTGCATGTTAGCAAGCGTCCTTATCCAGAATCCGGACATCATGATCCTAGACGAGCCAACCAATTTCCTGGATCTGCTAGGAGTAATCTGGCTGGAGGGGTATCTGAAACAGCTGCGAGACTTTTCGCAAACGACAATTGTTCTAGTATCTCATGATAGAGACTTTGTGAACGCTGTCTGCGAAGAGATCGTCATTATCCGAGACCAAAAGCTCACCTATTTCAAAGGAAACCTGACTGCATATGAACAGGACTTTGAAGAGCAGAAGTTATACTGGGGCCGCATGAAGGAAGCCCAGGAGCGGCAGATAGCCCACATGGAAGCGACTGTTCGCGAGGGCATCAAAGTCGGGAAGAAAACAAACGATGACAATAAGCTCCGCATGGCCAAGTCGCGGCAAAAGAAACTTGACAATAGGATGGGTGTCCAGGTTAATGCACGCGGAGGGCGCTTCAAGCTGAACCGAGATCTGGCCGGCTGGCATCTAAGTGCCCGCGATGAGATCGAAGTTCCACAGGATGAAAGGGGTGTCTTGATTACCTTACCTGATCCTCCCGAGCTGCGGTTTCCGGGACCGCTAATATCCCTCGAAGGGATCGCCTTCAGATATAGCACTAATACATCACCGGTGTTAAAGGGCATTGATCTCGTGATGCATATGGGAGACCGCGTGGGAATTATGGGCGTCAATGGGTGTGGAAAATCCACATTGATCCGTCTGGTTGCTGGCATCACCGTGCCGACTCAGGGGAAAGTCTCTTCGCACCCGCGGCTCAAGATGGGCTACTATGCCCAACATTCTATCGAGGAGCTCCAGGCACTAGGGCAGGGAGATTCGAGCCTGACAGCATTAGGATTGATGACAAAAGACGTAGCTGGCTCGCTAAAGGAAGGTCAACTGCGAGGGTTGTTATCATCTCTAGGTCTTCAAGGGAGGATAGTATCCGACGTGCCAATTCTTCGACTCTCCGGAGGTCAATTGGTAAACACTCCGAATCAAACGGATGTACGCGCCACTAACGCCTGGGATATAGGTTCGCCTAGCGCTGGCAAGGATCATCTGGAACGCACCACACCTACTTGTCCTCGACGAAGTCACCACCCACCTCGACTTCCATACAGTAACAGCTCTTGCATCCGCATTATCCGCATTCAAGGGCGCAATATTGCTAGTTTCGCATGATCGATTCATGGTTCGAGCCGTGATTGAGGGGAAACGTGGTCAAGACCATAAACTAGACGAGGATTTTAAGGGCGTCGAAGATGAGCAAGACGAGACCCTGTCACGGCGGAGAGTCGTATATGTAATGAAAGCCGGTACTATGAGGGTACAGGGTGATGGCGTGAAGCAGTTCGAGAAGAGCTTGGTGAAAAAGGTGCAGAAGATGTTGCCCGCGCAGGGATAGCCAGGAAGCTTTGAATAGCTGGCTGGAGGGAATCTGTCAGTGTTAGATCATAGATAGTAATAGCCATTCGTACCCATCCTCAAGGAGGCAGGTGCCTGCCTTACAAGAACTGTCACATTGGCAGACCAACAGTTGCTGGCGGGCATTTCTGACCATGCCCGAATCCGGAGAATGAAACCGTACGGCCTGACCCCAAGCTCCGGGACGACATCTAAGTGAAATCCGGGCCATTGGTCGAGCGATGCATTGATGGCTGCCTAGATGTTTGTCCAAGGCTGGGCTGACAGTGCCCAGGAAGAACAAAGGTGCAAGTGGGTTTACTGGAAACGCGAGCCAAGATCGACAGCTAAGAGCAAGACTGAGCCGCTGAGATGATGACGGGAGTCCGCATTACAAGGCGGCAGGTGCCCTCGGGCCCCGGCGTGACAATGACTGCTGTTTTAGGCCAAATGTAGCGCCCTCAGGCTGTCGCGCCTCGTTCTCTTCCTCCGCCATACTTGGCAGCACTGACACTGCACCTGGGGCACCTGTAACAGAGCTGCAGCTTGCTCCAGCTGTATCTTCACGAACCCTGTTTGGATCTGGGGCCGAGTCTCCAATGTTGATCTACTGTTGACGCTACCCTTCCAGGCTCAATGGGGCGACAGAATGAACAACGCCTAGTATCTCCTATTCTTGGATATAGGCATCAAGATAGAGAGCAATGACCATGCCTACAGCTATATAAGCTGCTGAACTGGGGGTGAAAATGGGCATTATACTTCGGAGTTATTACAAGTTCCCTATGCCTTGGAAAAGACAAGATGGTTTCGTTTCGCACCCTTCTTCCCACATTTGTCTTGCTTGCGTTTGCAGAATGTAAGATCAATTGGGGAGGCTGCAACCAGCTTCAGGCACTTCAATTCAACTCCAGCACCATACCGGTACCTTTCCAATGCGGGACACTTGATGTGCCTCTCGACTATTCCTCTCAGAACAGCAGCGAGAAGCTCACCCTCGAGCTTCTAAAGGCTCCCGCGCCTCTGGAGTCGAAGGGATCTATCCTGGTTAACACGGGCGGCCCAGGTCTCCCCAACAGACAGGATTTCTCCACCTTGGCTCGGAACTTGATCCCGTATGGCTCCCATTTAGGCAGTTATTGATTCGAGATGCTGATTAGCAGTTTGACCGGTGGCCAATATGATCTGATTGCCTTTGACTCACGAGGAACTGTCAACACAGCCCCTTTGACTTGTTACGAAGACCCGATCCAGGAAATCAAATCCTTTCTCGGGCAGAAACCATCCAACAAATCAGATGTAGCGGTGGGCGAGCTCTGGACTCGAGGAACAGTCGATGCCGAGGCCTGTTTTGAGGCCGGAAGCAAAAATGGGAGTGTCATGACCACTGCTTTTGTGGCGAGGGACTTGGTCTCCGTTGTTGATGCTCTGGAAGAAGATGGCTTGCTGAGATACTGGGGTGAGCACTCCAGATTGAGAACGCAGAACAATCCGTTGACTGACAGCCCGCGCGACACTGGTAGGTTTTTCATATGGAACAATTCTCGGCGCAACTGTAGCTGCAATGTTCCCGGAACGAATCGATAAGATCATCTTTGACGCCGTTCAAAATGTCCATGAATACTACCACGCGCAGGCGTAAGCACCCTGGGCCATATTCTGAGGACGGCAGTTGATATTATATCTCCAGAAACTTCGAAGAATGGGAATTGTCCGATACACTTTTCTCCGCTATTTTCTCCGAGTGCGTCAAAGCTGGACCTGAGCTTTGCGCATTGGCGGCCCACAATGAAACGGCTGAAGAACTCGAAGCCGCTGCTTATGAGCTTCTAGAAATCTCCAAGTACCAGCCCTTCCCAGTGGGTCAGCTAGTCGTGGACTATGCAGCCGTTAAATCAACATATGCACAAAGCCTGTACACGCAGAGAGCGTGGCCTCTCACGACAGCCCTTGTTGACGTGCTATTTTATGGCACAGAAAGCTCCATCGAGGAGGTGCTAAGTGGGTTGCCGCACATCAACATCACTGGCTTAACGCTTCCAGGCTTGGCTGCCACTGATATCGCATTGGCAGGTATCTACTGCTCGGACAATCAAGTGCGGACGGAGAGTTTTGACGAGTTTGTTCCCGCCATCGATAAGCTCTACAGTCTTAGCCAGATCATGGGAGACTTGGGTGTCAGTTCGTACATGCGATGTCAACAGTGGAAGATCAAGCCCAAGGAGACCTACAGAGGTAGCCTCGAACACGTGCAGATCAAGAACCCTCCGCTCTTCATTGGAAACACCCTTGACGGCCACACACCACTCAAGTCCGCGTATAACGTCAGCGCCAGCTTTGAGGGGAGTGTTGTCCTGGAGATTGACGGCTATGGTCACGGTTCCACCGCAGTTCCCTCTGAATGTTCGCTCAAGGCCATTTCCGCTTACTGGGTTAATGGCACGCTTCCTGAGCCTGGCACGCGGTGTGCTAGGGATGTCGAGCCGTACACGAATGATTGGTGGCCCGAAGTTTTCAAAGCTGCTGGTGTCAATGAGACATGGATTCATAAAGGATAAGGTCGTTGGCATGCGCGTCGTTGGACTGCATGGGAAACGGGGTTATGTGTCTCGATACATGTACAATCCTTTTTTTCCCTTCATTATTTGGATAATCCGAGTTAGCAATATACAAACCTTTGTTATTGTTCCTCTTGTGGCCGTCTATATGTTCCACCAAGTCAACTCGAGGCGACGTGGACGTGTAGGGAAAACCCCACTCTCGGTACGATGACATCACAGCCTCGTATCTTATCGATTAGTAATTCCAGCAGTCAGGTGACGGAGGCGACCGAGTCCGCGGAGAACAGCGACGATAAGATTTCCCTTATATACAGGCCTTGCTACGTTGGCTCCGGTTTTGATCCTTTTGCTCACATCGGGTGATGCAGGGCACACTTGGAAACTGGCCGTCGTCGAGCAGAATCCCTGCAGGAGATGACTGAGCCCATGCTCTTCAGGCGGGGCGTAGTTCAAGCGACTTCGTCCTTCCCTCGATTTCCCCGCATCCAGACTCGAACTCGATTTCCGACCTGGCGTCGGGCAACCCTCTCGTCCCCGCGGCATGTCAGCACCGGCCTGAATCCTCAGGTTAAGGTCCACGATGAACCGAATACGTCTCCCTCTCCAACATCAACACAAACGACCCGCTGGAATGCGTTGAAGACAGCAAAGCCGTTTTCCGCATTCCTGACAGACACGTTCAACCGCCAACATGATTACCTTAGAATCAGCGTCACGGAGCGCTGCAACCTACGTTGTCTATACTGCATGCCCGAGGAAGGGGTGCCGCTTTCCCCTCCCGCTCGCCTTCTGACCTCCCCGGAGATCGTCTACCTCTCGTCGCTGTTCGTTTCGCAGGGTGTGACTAAAATCCGCCTCACTGGCGGAGAACCAACTGTGCGGAAAGATATCGTGCCTCTTATGCAATCGATTGGAGAGTTACGGCGTGACGGTTTACGAGAACTATGCTTGACTACCAATGGAATCTCGCTGCATCGCAAGCTCGAGCCGATGGTGGAGGCAGGGCTGACTGGGGTAAATCTCAGCTTGGACACTCTGGACCCGTTCCAGTTCCAGATCATGACGAGGAGAAAGGGCTTTGAGGCGGTCATGAAGAGTATACACCGCATTCAAGAGCTGAATAAGATGGGTGCTGGGATAAAACTGAAGATTAACTGCGTTGTGATGCGAGGGCTCAACGAGCGGGAGATTATCCCGTTTGTTGAAATGGGACGTGATAGCCCCATTGAAGTGCGGTTCATTGAGTACATGCCGTTCGATGGCAACAAATGGAGCCAAGGGAAGATGGTTTCCTACCAAGAGATGCTGGCCCTCATTCGAGAGAAGTATCCGACACTGGAGAAAGTGACGGATCATAAGAATGATACCAGCAAGACCTACCGGGTTCCCGGCTTCCAAGGTCGAGTTGGCTTTATCACTAGTATGACGCATAACTTTTGCGGAACATGCAACCGCCTTCGAATTACGTGCGATGGGAACCTCAAAGTCTGCCTGTTTGGAAACTCTGAGGTGTCGCTGCGAGATATCATTCGGCAACAGAACAGTGGCGAACCGATTAGCGAGTCTGTGCTAGAGGAGCTAGGTCTCCTTGAGGCAGCACGGACCGCAGCTCGCATCCACGACGAGGGCGGCATTGTCAATCCACGAGAAAGGGAACTTCTCGATGTCATTGGCATGGCCGTGAAGCGAAAGAAGGCCAAGCACGCCGGCATGGGAGAATTGAAGAACATGAAGAACAGGCCGATGATTCTTATTGGTGGGTAGGCACTTCCCGCCCCGATACCTATATATATGACTGCGACGAGAGATCACGATCTATGATATATACATGCTCGTATACTGCTTTTGAGGCTCGGCGTTGCACTACTTTCTTGTACATACAGCTTATGCATTACATTGAGCTATACTGATAGGCGGCTTAGATAAAACGAGGGATATTCAAAGAAATGCAAGAGATTCTACCCCCAGGTCATTAATGATGGCCAAGGGAAAGTGGACAAATATACCGACGCACATACTCAGCCCTGGAGCAAATGCTACACGAATCCGGTTTCATCACCACGGACGTAGCACTACCCAGCCCGAAGAACCTAGCAAGAAGGAAACAAAGCCTGCTTCCTTGCCTACAACCGACGACACCGACCTACCCCATCTCAACCGCTCTCAAAACGTCCACATGACCCTGATCGACGAGAAACCCGTCTCCAAGCGCCTCGCAACAGCAACCTGCCTAGTCCACTTCTCCAACCAACGGCCCTGGGAACTCCTGCGTCAAGGCCCCGGCAGTCGCAAAGGCGACGTTTTTAGCATCGCTCGCATTGCCGGTATTACTGCCGCAAAGAAGACGCCTGACATTGTGCCGCTCTGTCATCCTGGACTGGGGTTGACGGGGGTGGAGGTGGATGTTCAACTCCTCGACCCGTCTGCTGATGGCGGCAAGGAGATGAAGCATGGGGCGATGCATGTTACGGCGACGGTCAGCTGTGTTGGGAGGACAGGGGTGGAAATGGAAGCCATGACCGCGACGATGGGGGCTGCGTTGACGGTGTATGATATGCTGAAGGCCGTTGACAAGGGGATGGTGATTGGGGGCGTGAAACTGCTAGAGAAGATGGGGGGTAAGAGTGGGCATTGGATCAGAGACGAGGTTGTGAAGGATGAATGGATGTAGAATTGTAAATGAAAAAGGAGTTGTACAGGGGAAGTCAATACCAGTGTCACCCTGCTAGCTTATTTCTCCTTTGATTACGAAGCGAATGGGGAGAACCATTAGCTAATATAGCGGATGTCTCCAATTGCTCCTTCCCTTTGCGCACTGTATGGCTATTACCAACCTCCTCAGCTCAATCTCTAACATCAGGCATCCCGCCTGAGCAGGACCTGCCAGCCAATCCATTCTGTGCGGGTGAATCCCTGGCTCTAAGATAGATCATTGACAATGGGTTTTAGGACCTGCAAAGAGTAGTACGTCTTCAAGGTCAATGCAAGGACATCACTAAGGTCTGGGGTCATGGCTACATGCGAAATGCTTGAACCACATGCCGTACCACGATGGCGGAATCCAGTACCTACTTCTCCCAATGCTCCTCCGTATCCGCCTCCCTGAACTTCTCAATGCCACCCACAACTCCATCCCGATCAACATCCCAACCCCCCCTCTCCACCCGCTCCGCCCAGTTCCTTAACACCTTGTCGATCTGCACATCATGGCGCTCACTAAACCCATCAACGAGCCCAGGCTGATAAAGTGCCGCATGTTCATTGCGAGGCTTGGGTTCCCAGTCCATGTTGTGCCTTCCGAAGGGTTCCCCGTTTGATTTCCGCGCGTACCCTTTCTTTCCGACCACGAAGGGCAGTGCGAGGTGGCATCCGTTGCTGTAGCATAGCGGTGGTTCCTGGACGACTGGGTAGATGTAGAAGCCGGCAGGCAAGACCAGCTCAGTCCGACGCGGTATATACGGATCGGGGACTGGCTGGTCGCAGACGACCTGGAAGATCTTCAGCGGGTAGTCTCCGGGAAACTGCCCGACGTCGTTGCGGGGGGGCGTCTTGAAGTCCGTGATGGGCTGGTCGAGGAACTCGGATACAGTAGGGAACCGGAGCCCAGGCGCGACATAGCGGAACCGGACCTTGATGTGGGCGATGGCCGTCAGGAACTCGTGTGCGAATGTTGAAGGCGGGAGGACGTTCTGCTGCGTGAATGTGGCAGGGTCAAGCCATGGTAAGTCCATCCAGTCAGTAGAATCGTTGTCCTTGCTGTCGTTTTCTGGCATCCGCGCATGGATTGCAATGACAAGATGCTTGAAGGCAGCCACAGCCCTTGCTACATCTGCGGCAGTGTACTGATGAATCAACCAAGGTCTGTCAAGCCATTCACCGTCAAGTTCGTCCAGGAGGTTATATGCTGTATCATCCGTAACCGCCTCGACTTTCCCCTCGTCAATCATCTGAAGGTAAGCATCTAGAATGACTTCAAACGGCATCCAGGCGAAGGGAAGGGCACAAACGTCCGGTGTATCATTATAGTCTGTGATGAAGCTTGCTTTCATGGTATGCTGATTCAATCCGAAGAAAGCAGTCAGCACATGTGGAGCTCGTTGTGTAATGCAGCGCTCGCAGCCCAGTGCACCGGGGCCTAGGTCACGGACTGGGCTGGATTTGGTGATTCGGGGGTATCCCTGACCATTATTGAGATGTTCAGCTGGGGGTAACTCGACGGGGTGCGTTTCTGGTGAAGCCATTATGGAGGGTAGTATAGGATCGATTTTAACCTCGGGCAAACCACGCGGGTTTTAGGTTTCAAAATTAAACCAATGCCGGTAACCATATACTTAAACCTGCGTGGACTGCCCTTTTAACATGTTAGGGAACTTAGCCCAACTTTGAGAGTATACTGACTCACTGAGCAGTGACTGTGAGCAAGGTCGAGAGTCGAGGCACTGACGCCCCGTAGGGCTGACCCAAGCTTTTGCCATGGCTTCTCCCGCAACGGTCCCTGTTCCCCATTGTTGTTGTCCTGAACCGATCAAGACACAACCAACACATCTCCTCTTCACATCTGTGGTTATTGTCTCCATCAACAACAAATATACTGGACCGAGACTCAAAGGCGACATCGTGGTGGGTAGCGGTGTGGACATCTGCTCCATCCATCACGGCCACGGAGCGACCCACCGAATCGTGATCCATCGCGCTGATTTTTCGCAAAGTCTGTGGTCATTCGTGATCATTCCTGTCCACTCATACTCGCCGCTTCGGGCCTTTTTCCCCTGCAGCCTGGCCGTCACCTTGAGAATCATGTTCCTTGTCTGTCTTTCTTCCCACCTCGTCGTCAGCACTCGCTTCCCTGGCCTTGTCGCCCTCGATGACCCGTAAGGCAGTCCTCTTCTACAACTATTACAGCGGCGCTAACTGTATACAAAGCCCGGCGTTGTTCGCGGCTGATAACCAGCGGTATCTCAACTCTGCTACCGCCTTTTAACTTTCTTACTCTGCACTATGCCTACTTCATCATCGTCTCACTGATCAGTAGCCTCATCTTCTGGGGGGCGTCTAATCCTTCACGGAGCGTTTCGTATACCGATGCTCTGTTTATGTGCGTTAGTGCCATTACGGGCACTGGGTTGAATAGTGTATGTGTTTGCACCCGTTAATGAGGCAGAGCTAATGGTACATAGGTTGAAGCGTCGACGTTGACGACCTTCCAGCAAGTTGTTATGTTTGTCCTGCTCCTGCTAGGCCATGCTATCCTCATCTCAATTACTGTTCTTCATGTTCGGAAACGAGCGTTCCAGCATAAATTCAAAGGCATTTCTCATGCTCTTGCGCAAAGGACTGCTCAGGGAGCGCCTGCGCCTAATCTCTATGAGGAGAGAAATGATGACAAAAGCCATCCAATGACACAAGACATACCGATGGAGATTTCAAGTCGTTCCTCAGTTGGGATTCACATCCAGTCTGCGAACACCGAAGAGGGCGTCTCGTATGATCCTACGCCCAAGACTGGAGTTGACCAGTCCTCAAATCTGAAGTTCGAAAATGATAGGGCCAGGAATAGCTGCCACTCCTTGAATAAAGCCCAGCTACTTCCCATGGGCATATGGCGAGGCACCCAGAAGTATTTTGAATCTAAAGGGCTCATCTCGCGAAACTCTCAATTCCATGGCCTGACAGCGGCAGAAAGAGACCGGCTCCAAGGTGTCGAGTACAAAGCTGTTTCGTTTCTGTCGGTAATTGTTCCAATATACTGGGCATCGTTCCTGTGCTGCGGCATTCTGGGAATGGGTACCTGGCTAGAGCTCAATAAGCCGCAAGTTCCTCGGGACAACGGTCTGTCACCATTCTGGACCGGAGCTTTTTTTGCTGTCTCTGCATTCGTGAACAGCGGCATGGGCATTTTGGATGCTAACATGACAGCTTTACAGACAGAGTAAGCTTATCTCTTGCATAAAAACGTGAAACCATACTAATTCACTCTACAGTGCCTACCCGCTTGTCACGATGGGACTGCTGATCCTTGCAGGAAACACCCTCTACCCCTGCTTCCTGCGCTTGATAATCTGGACTATGAGGAGAATGATGCCTAATCGACCCGCGTGGAAAACATGGAGGGTCACGTTGGATTTCATATTAGACCATCCTCGCAGGGTATGTGTGGCTTTACTCAACAAATTCCTATCTGACAGAGCCAGGTGTATACAAACCTTTTTCCCGCCCGCCATACATGGTACCTTGTAGCCACTGTCATCATATTCAACGGCATCGACTGGGCTGGCTTTGAGGTACTCTCGATCGGAAACAAGGAGATTGAGGGACTGCCAACTGCCTACCGTATCATGGACGGCCTGTTCCAAGCATTAGCCGTCCGAGCGGGAGGATTCTCAGTTGTCACAATTTCCGACCTGCGCCAGGGACTGCTGGTCTTATACGTTCTCATGATGTACGTCTCGCCATTCCCCGTACTAGTCACGATGAGGCACACAAACGTCTACGAAGAACGCTCCCTAGGGATCTACGCAGAAGACGAAACCCTCTACGACTCCAACCAGCGTCCCTCAAACAACATCACCGACCTCGTGCGCCGCCATCTCCTCCTCACAAAGGAAGGCACACGTCGCCACTTCCTTCGCGAGCAGCTAAAAGACCAGCTGAGCCACGACCTGTGGTGGATCGCGCTCGCCGTGTTCTTCATCTCCATCATCGAGTCCAGCAACTACACCAAAGACCCCGTGGGCTACTCGACCTTCAACATCCTCTTCGAAGTGATTTCCGCCTATGGCTGCGTCGGCATTAGCACGGGATATCCTGGCAGGGATCTTTCGTTCTGCGGCGTCTGGCATTCGCTTAGCAAGCTTATTCTTGCGGCGGTTGCGTTGAGGGGAAGGCATCGGGGTCTGCCTGTTGCTATCGACAAGGCGATTATGTTGCCGAGTGAGTCGAATGCTCAGGCGTGGGCTGAAGAGGAGGATGCCGTATTGCGGAGGGAGCAGGTTGGGCCTGGGGCTGTATGATTTTGCTCACTTTTTTTTATTTCCAGATCAGCGTTTAGCGCAGCGATGGCACCGGCGTTCGAGGTTGATCTTGACATATAGATATTGATGATAGATTTATGATAGATTACGTTTTTACGAACTTGAGTTGCACTGAACATTGATAGATAGAGGTGGTAGAACCCCTGTAACCTCAACTTTTAACGTGATATCTATAGAACGATGATAACATGACCGGATGAATACAGAAAAGAGATATCATGACAAGCGCAGGTATAACTGATGCCCTGCATGAACAAAGTACACTAGGTATATAGAGACACTCAGTCATCATCCTCCTCTTCCTCGTCCTCATCCTCCGAAACCTCAACCTCTTCCTCCTCCTCATCCTCACTGTCATCCTCACTCTGATCGTTCTCACTAGCCACATCATCCATAGTGACATCATCACCACCACCCTCCTTCTCCTCCTGCCTTCTCTTCTCCTCCTCCCGTCGTCCCTCCTCCAGAATAGCAGCCTTCTCCTCCCTCAACTTCCTCTGCACCTTGACAAACGCGCCGAGCGGCGTACTCTCCCACTCGACATCCTTCAGGAACGCATCAACCTCCGTCTTATTCCTCGGCGCAAAGGTAACATGGACTCTCTTCTCCTCAATCCACTTCGCGTTCGCCTCGACCTTCTGCACGAGCAGGAGAATCATCTGATTGACCTTCTGGTTGCGGTTTCCGCCGTTCCGCGACGAGACCTGCTTCAGCCAGCGCTTCAGCGCGACAACAATGGGGACACTCAATTCAGGGAAGGAGATGTGCTTGCTCCACAGGACGAAGAACTCAGACAGAAGCTCGGCGATCTGCTCGGCGGCGCCGTCCTGATAGACGCGGGTGCGGAGGTATGATTTCGGCGCGCGGATGGCCGTGTTGAAGTCTAGGGGTCGCAGGGTGGCTTGCTTGGGTGCTTTGCGGAGTTCGGTGAGGTTGAGGGGTTCGAGGAGGAGGGGCGCAAGCGGGATGTATGTGCCTGAGGCGCGGGAGAGACGGAGCAGCGAGCGGGTGAGCTGGAAGCGGAGCGGGAGGTATTGGGCTGTTGGGATGAGGCGGCTTGCGCCGAGGGTGATCTGGACGACGGGGTAGATGAGGGGTCGTAGAGCGGACTGTTTGCCGAGTTTGGCCTCGACGAGCCCGTCGCAGTGTTGCGAGAGGACGCGCGACCAGAAGTCCAGGCTGTGCACGTACTGCCAGTTGTAGATTGTCTTGTAGCTCTCCTTGGAGGTGTTTGTGATGCTGCTGCGGAGGTGCATGGCCAGCTGGCGGATAAAGTTGAAGCCGGTTGTGTACGAGACGTTCTGGTCGATGCCCCAGAGCTCGGCGGCGGAGTTCTTCATCAGGTTCACGCCAGGGAGCGTGTGGACTGTTGTGTTGCGGCTGCCCTTGACGACGCCCTCGTAGGAAGCCTTTAGAACGGACTCCTTAAGCCCGGAGTCGCCGATAACCATGAGGCGGCGAAGGAGGAGGAAGCCGACGATACGGGTGGCTTCGGTTGTGGAGGCGTCGGCCCAGATGCCAACGATGGTTTTGATGAGGACCTTGAGAAGCTTGCGGAATTGGAGGAGGTAGGGGAGCATGGGTTCGATGGAGGAGAGAGTCAGTTTGAGGGTCTGCTCGTCGGAGAGGTTGGCGAGCATCTTCTGGACGGAGGAAGTGTGGGACTTGATGAGAGGAGTGAGGGTCTTGAACTTCTTGTTGTCGAGCGATACTCGGACCTTGCCAGAGGCGGTCTCCTTGACGGGGAGGTGGTGCGATAGGACCTTGGGAACATGGTTGAGCGCTGTGACGAGAACTTGGTGGTAGACGTTGGAATCGGAGATGGAGTACTTCTGCTCCTGGGCGTCTGGGTCGTCGAGGTACGCCGCGGCGCGGAAAGCGAGCACGGCTTGTCGCATCGCGCGGATAGAGTGCTGTTCCTCCATGGACTTCTGCCACTTCTTCACAGTTGCGACTGTGAGATCAGAAGCAGCCTCTTCTTCCTTTGCTGCCTTCTTTTTCTTCTTCTTGGCTGGCTCATCTTGCTCCTCCTCCGATTCGCTCAGCGCATCGACTTCTGCAAGGTCGCCGAATTCAAGGAGCTCGGCATCGTTCTCCTTCAAGTACTTATAGAACTCAGGGTCCTTCTCTTTCAGAGCCTCGATATCTTTCATGTGTGTCTCAACATCGTCGGCTTCGCTAGCTTCCGATTCTTCGTCATCGTCTTGGAACTGTACGGCGTCCTCCTCTCCGCTGCTTGACTCTTCCTCTTCATCCTCCTGAGGCTCTGATCGCTTGCGCTTTCCAATCTTTGGGGTAACATCCTTCTTCTTGGCCTTCTTCGGGTCTGCGATGTCGAATCCTCCAGCAAAGAAATCATCGACGTTCATCTCTGCAAAGGCATTTTTCTTGGTCTGTTCGGCGTCATCCTCGGAGTCGTTCTCTCTTTCGGCGCGTGACTTGGCATTGTCCGATTTTCGTTTCTCCTTCAGGTGGTTGCGCTGCTTGATCTTTGCGGCCGCCTTTCGTCGTTCGAGTACGTCCTTGAGATGTTTCTTCTCAAACTTCTTGGTGGACTTCTTCTGGCTTCCGGCCATCGTGACAGTTATTTCCTACCCGGCGGTAGGTGTGAATAACTGCTGAAAATGTTGTCACAAGGAACGAAATCCCCAGTTCTTGAGAATCGGTCCAGGAAAATAAAATCCTCAAAAAAAATCTCTTGGGTGGCAGAAAGCAGTCACGGGCTGCCGCTCGACCAAATTGGGTGACCGCTTTCGGGCCCCTCTCGGAGAGCTCTCCTCTCCCCGCTCAACGGTGGTTATCTTATCCAAGTGTTGACGCAATGTATGCTCAGCAGCCTCTTGCTTATGCTCCGACACCTTACAGCTATACTCCTAACATAGCCAGGTCCGCGTCTATCAATCTAGACGAGGTATATTGACCACGAGACTATGCGAGCCGGGCCAACCCGCTGACTATGTTGCCAGGAAGTGAAACTCGCCTCGAGCTCAGCGGAGCGCGACCTATACGAGTCTCTAGGTGAAATCTACAGCATTATATTGACGCTCGATGGATTAGAGAAGGCATATATCAAGGATGTTATCACCGAGGCGGAGTATTCCGAGACATGCACTCGACTTCTGAAGCAGTACAAATCCAGCTTGGGTGACGACACCGTCGCCAGGGAGTTTGTTGACTTGGAAACATTTAAGCGAACTTGGGGGGTATGTGCCTTCTACATTCCGGAGACATCAGTCTATACTGACCAATCTGCCCTAACAGCTCGAATGCGCCCGTGCCACCGAACGCCTGCGGGTCGGAGTTCCTACGACAGTCGAACAGGCCTCGCACAGTGGCCCTTCAACCAACAAGGCTCCCGGAGCGGCCGGATCTACTGGCGGCGCATCCGGTACTCTGATTTTGACGGCCACGGAGAACTTCATTACTTTCCTTGACGCACTGAAGCTCAAATTGGTCTCCAAGGACGCACTTCATCCGCTACTCTCGGAAGTTATCCAGTCAGTCAACAAGGTGACGGACGTGGATTTTGAAAATCGGGGGAAAATCATTCAATGGTTGATCACTTTAAACCAGATGCGTGCAACTGAAGAGCTGGGTGAAGAGCAAGCCCGAGAGCTAGCGTTTGACATCGAGTCAGCGTACCAGGGATTCAAGTCGACACTGGAGTAGGGATGTCGATAACAGAAAGCATGAAGAGGCGTTCGGGAGTTCGATACCATAGCGATGTCTAGTTCTACATGTTGATATATTTTTGGATTCTCTGGCTCTTATCTCTTGGAGCAGAGCGGAGCCGATCCGCGGAACAGCGCAAACGAGCTTTTCCTTTTTTGGCGATTACGCCTTTTTTTCTGCACTTTTCTGAGCGTGCCTGAAATTGAGATAGCGATTTGCCACGGGCACGGTTTGTATAAGAAGAATGCCTAGACCCCGCTCCCCATGTTGTTGAGAATCTAACCAGTTCGACATCAATGACCCCTCTCACTGCCTTCAAGATGATAACCGTAGAGCCCGACGAGCCTCTCCATGGTTGGTTTGACCGCCGTCCCCGACGGACATTTGTGGACCGAATCGACTGATAAGCGTCTTGCAGCGCTGGACCTTCCCCAGATCTATACGAAGCCATCCGGCACCGAGCTCCTCCAGACCTTGGACCTGTTAACGATCAAACCACGCAGTTTCGGTGCCAGTGCTCATGGGCCGGTCAAAAGCCGCGCAGTCGACCCCACGGGCCTGACTCGATACCTGACATCCATCATTGCGAGCCCCCTCTCCTGGCTAGATACCGATGAATTGCGGGAAGCCATTTGGGACGCCGCGTCCGCGCGCCTTAGTGAGCGGTCTGGTCGAACGGGTATGTATGATGTAGAAGCGAGAGCCGCCGCCCAAACAACACACGTTGGAGACTGACCTACTAACAGCAATGCCGGCAATGTCCCGCGTCTTTGCAATTCCCACATCATCCGGCGAAGAGCTCACACTGACCCTCCACGAGCCATCGTTGACGGCGGACAACCTAGGCATGAAAACCTGGGTTTCCTCTTATCTTCTTTCTCGACGCCTCCACTCCGTCCTCGAATCTACCCCGCAACTCGTTCCCTCTTCATCAACCGCTCCGACACCAAATCCTGACCGCACCCTTCGAGCGCTAGAGTTAGGCGCAGGTACCGGCCTCGTCGGGCTTTCCTTTGCTGCCTTACGCGGCGAAACTGCCAGAATCCATCTCACAGATCTTCCCGAAATCGTCCCGAATTTGTCTCACAATGCTGCTCTAAATGTCGAGCTGCTCACCAGAACCGCTGCGACAGTCACAACAGGGGTTCTAGATTGGTCCGCTTCGCCTGAGACGCCTCCAGCTGCCGAAGAACAATACGATCTGATTCTGGCTGCGGATCCTCTTTATTCTCCTGAGCATCCGCGGTTGCTCGCTGATACTATCGCTGTTTGGCTAAGCCGGGGTCTCGATGCGCGTGTTGTGCTTGAAATGCCTTTGCGGGATGCGTACCTGCCCCAAGTGCAGGATCTCCGACAGCGGCTAGGGAAATTTGGGTTGGCAATCGTTGAAGAGGGCGAAGAGACTGGGTATGATGATTGGGAGACCGCAGATGGAGCTGCAGTTGCGGTGCGATGCTGGTGGTCTGTTTGGGGCTGGAGCGAGAAGCTCTAGCTTTGGCAGTTCTCACATCTTGGAAACGGTGATGAGATTTTCAACGAACCATCGTTACGACGTCACGAAGGTAAAATTAAACGAGCGACGATAGATCGTTGGATTAGATCGAGATTCATAGAAGTAGACTATGTCTAGATCTTGTGTAGGTTAGATATCTCGAGTCAAGTTTGCATAGCACATTTGTACCTGCGGTGCTTTTCGAATATATTATCATTGATAGAAATATCATGCTATCGCATTCGAAAAAAGAACAAGGTTGTAATAAGTCTTTGTTCTCGCCCTAAACCTCCGCTCACGTGCACCTGGTGTACCTATGACGTCGTCGAGCATGGGGTCAGGTACGATCTCGAATCCGATCGACCATGAGGACATAATTATCTGTCTCACTTATCTAACCGATTACTAGAAGCTCAAGACCGTATTCTATCTCCTCGTACCAGCATCCTGTCTGCCTGCGCCGATATACATCACAAAAATCAGACCCCTCTACCCAACAACTTACCCACGAACTACCTAGCAAACAACCATAATAGCACAGCGAGCAGCATGATCGGTCTGTTAGCAATAACAGCAATTCCCACCGTCACTGGTATTGCCCTCGGGTGCAGCGAGCAGCGCAAACAGAATTCACGAGAAGATGACGAGAAACGCATGGCGAAGTTCTATACAGACGTGGAATGCACAGAAGACGTCGAGGAGGCCGACGAGTTAGATGGGAAGAGGGTTGTGCTGAGGAATAACAAGGTTCGTATAATATCACCAAGCCTTCATCCATCCCAGACCATTGCTCACCGTCCTGAACGGATATAACAGGTATACATCGATGATCCAAACCCAGCGAACCGCAAGATAGAATCCCACGCCGGCCAAGCATTCTACATCGACTACCCTGAACCCGACCACATGAAAGACCTGAAGCGAGGACTAGGCCTTGTCTCAACGATACAGGACAGCCCACCGATGCTGAACTGGTTATATTGCGATAAGGATACGCACGAGCTCAAGTACGGGAATCGGACACAGAGCTGCGAGCATGTTCCCGCGCCATGGAACTGGACGGATAAGGAGACGACGATTGTATTGGAGCGATGTTGGGGATTTTATGCGGTCAAGGAGAAGGATGAGCAGGGGAATTGGGCTTGGGCGGTATATTTGGACAGGGATGGAGATGAGTTGCAGAGGGTCTTGGGTGATAGGGAGGGAGTTGTTGTTGGGATTAGATTGAAGAGGACGTTGGTCGAGCTGGTACCGGCTGATGGGGGGCAAAAAGGAGGGTCGTAGTGCGCTGTTAAAAGTAATGAATTATTGATTTGCAAGGTTGGGGAATCTTGATTGTGGATATTGTACAGGGTTTCGGCCTTAATCGTCCAAGCCATTCCAGCCGTCATCCTCACTTGCACTTTCGGACCCAGCCTGTTCCTGGGCTTGTGATCTCTTCCGGCTGGCGGCAAGCATCATCTTCTTGTTGTTTTCCTGTCGCCGCTCGAATCCACTCTTTGTGCTGATTCTTGTCCGGCGCTGCTCCTTGTCCTCTGTGGTACCCTTGAGACCAGACTGTCTGGCCTTGACACCATGCTTCTTCAATTCTTTCTTATTCTTCTTGCTGAGGTCTGGTAAGGCATCTAGTAGCCATTTCTGTACCGAGCGTTCACCGGACTCTCCCCGCAACTTTTCACTGGTGTCGATGATGTTGGCGATGCTCTTGACATAGGGAATGTCCTCTTTCGTGTAGTAGGTCACTGCAACACCGCCCTCGCGACCGGCTCTTCCAGTCCGTCCGACTCTGTGCACGTAGACCGCCGGGGAGTTGGGAATATCGTAGTTGACAACTCCGTTGATACCGCGGAAGTCAACACCACGCGCGAGTAAGTCCGTGGTGACAAGAATCCAGATCTCGCCCTTACGGAATCCTTTCATGATTTCTGATCTCTGCGTATCTGATAAGTCCGAGTGAAGCACCGCAATCCGTGCAGAGCCACCGGCCTCGGGAGGGATGTCGTAAAGCAGCTCAGAATGAAGCGCAATGGCTCGAGGAATGGTCTGGGTGAAAACGAGGAACGGTGGGCGAAGGCGAACATCTGAAGCTGTCGCTGCTGTGGGGTGGAGTAGTTGCCTGAGACCGAGGAGCTTTCCTTGCTCTGTAGCGGCGTAGACCAGTTTGTGCTTGATATTCGGAATGGCGGAATCTTTTAGACCAACGACAAGTCGGAGGAGGGGATATGACTTGGTTTGAGCCAAGGAGAGCTTCCGCTCTTTGATTGTTGTTTTGGCCATGTCCTCGATGCTGGAGCCCATGGTGGCGGACCAAAGGCTGGCACGAAGCTCTGGGTGAGTGCAAGAGCGCCAGATATCGAGCGTCTGGTCGCGAAACAGAGGATCTAACAGGACATCTGCTTCGTCCATGACCAAGTTTCTTACTAGTGGTAATGTCGCAAGAGGCTTCGTCTTGTTCTCAGAGAGCGCATTGACGAGTTGCAAGGGTGTCGAGACAAGGATGTCGCTCTTGGTTACTGGAACCGCTCCCTTGTTCTTGTTGCCGGGAGTCTTTTCGTCGCTTTCGGATTCTGATGAGTCCGAGTTGCTTTCATCTAAGACGTCATCCTCTTCGCCGTCACGCTCCACTACCCGCATCCCCTTTTTCATCAGCGTGATCTTCACACCTGTTCCAAGTGCCAGCTTCCTTCCCTCATTGACAATTTGGCTAGCCAACTCCTTCGTCGGGGCGACAACAATGGCAAAGATACCACGCTCTTCTGGCTGCTCATGGTGATGCCGAACAATTTTATTGATCACTGGGATCATAAACGCCAGCGTCTTTCCACTTCCCGTGGGTGCAACTACCAGAATATCCGGCTCAGTAGTGCTCGTAGAATCCGGCTTCTCTCCAGAGACCGCCCCGTCGCCCAGGAGCAAAGGAAGGCTCCCCAGCTGAACCTCAGTTGGAACGGTGAATCCCTGCTCGGCGATATTCTCCGCGAGACGTCTCGAGATCTTATATTTCGAGCGTAACTCTTTGAACGAAACAAGCGGCTGCGGATACAATCGACGCGCCTTCTTCTGCTCTTTCTTACTGAGAGGCTGGGTCTGCTGTTTCTCTTCTTCCTGCTGCTTGCGCTTCTTCTTTTTCTTCTTCGGCTCTTCACTCTGGACTTGAGCGGCTGCGACCTCGTCAAAGTCACGCATATCAGTGACCTTGATCTTATGCGCATTTAGAACCGTCCGCCGCTGCACTTCATCCATGAACTCATCATCACTGTCGGAATCCGAATCAGACGCTTCCTCCTGGCCCGCAGGAGCGATGGTCGCCTTTGCCGCTGTCGCATCCGAGCTCTTAGATACTCTGCCCCGGCTAAAGAAGTCCAGGTTCAACGTATCCTCTTTGACCGATGCTGCTTCCTCTTCCGTACCATGCGCCCGTTTCCTCTTCTTGCCGCTTCCTTTCTCCAGCTTCTCCCCGGCTTTGAAAAGTTGCGGGTTTGCTGCTTTCCCTGTTGATGGGATGGTTGAAGATTGGGTGGTCGCGGGCTTCAACTTAGTTGATCTCGTCAACAGTTTAAAGGCGTCCATCTTCACGCATAGAGTCTATCTGTCTATGCAGATGATAATTTTGGACGGGCTAAGGCCTTGATCAAGCGATGGGACTTGGAAGAAAAAAAAGTCGTGGACCAGAATTCTACCCGCACGGGCCAATCAAACCTCACGGAGATCGACGCGCCCCAAGTTCCCAACCCACTGCAGACCAGAGCCCAAGATATATACTCTGTACGGAGTACCCAGGAGCTCGTCACTCCAGACGAACGATTTACCTACATCAGAGTCCATGGCCATCTATGTAGGATGTTATCTGTTTATGTTGAATGATTTGAGAGCATTGAATTCAATACTAATGAGCGTTCCTATTCTTGGCTTGTGTTTAGTAGGCGCAGAACCTGGCTCATTGACATATCTTAAGGTGTCCAATACATGGCGGCATAGAACGATCATATAAGCGAGATTCAACCCAGACAACAGTTTGATTCCATCGTCTATCATACATAGTACAGTTAACAAAGGAAAGATATAGCGGAAATAAAGACAGGTCAGATATATTTGCGTGCGATCGATCTAGTGGTGTCCGTGGCCAGCCTCACCCCGGTAGCCAACGATGTTGAAACGACCAATAATCTCTCCAACTGTGAAGAATCCGATAACCTCCGCAGCGGTAACACCAGCAAGGGCGATCTCCTTCTTGTTGGCGTTGCGGACACGGGCCAGGATATTTTGGGGAGAGAACTTGGCGTTCTGGAGGGTGGCAGGGTTGCGAAGAGAGTTAACCAGAGGCTGGAAGTATGATTGGAAAGTAGCGGTGCTCCTGGTATCGGGTTAGCGAGCGTCAAACGCGGATACAGACGTAACCATGCCGGGAGCACTTACGGAGGAGTCATGTTCTGACCACGGAACACCAGCTTGCCGAGCTCGAGACCAACTCTGGAGTAGTAGATAGTAGGGGGTATCATGGCTGTGGTAAGAGAGAAATGAGTCAGCAGTGTGGTCTCTAATTGCGTGGGAGATGGCCAAAGCACCACCCCTTCAGGAACCCAGCATATGAGGACAATTGGTCATAATGCCATCATATTCGATCCAGAAGTTGAAATACAAAAGCCAAAGACGGGAAATAAAAATCCCAATGTACCACTCACATTCAATGAAGGAGACGACTTTTCCGGTTCTTCCACCAACTTTCTTCAGGGTGTTGCCGAGGCCCTGGGCGGCGTTCGAGATGGCAGGGCCGGCAGAGGAAGAGACACGCGAGAGACCCTCCTGCGCCTTCGAGGCAGTAGAAGAAGCGGTCTCAGTCGCCTTGGAAGCGGCCTGAGATGTGGAAGAAGAGTGTCTGACCGCGGTCCGGGTCAGGAACTGCGATTGCCGCAGCACGGCACGGGTCGCCGTGGCAGGCATCTTGATAACCGCTGGAAGGGAGAAAAGAAGAAAAGGAAGGTGAAGACCTGGGGATTCGCAGGCGAGGGACAGAGAGGTCCAATGGCAGGTTGGTCAAGAGCCGTTGCGCAATTGCAGAACCCGGATCGAGATTTGAAGCTCGGAAAGATCAGGGAAGCCTCCGCAAGTCACGTGATCAGTCCTTACCACCGGGCCTGCTACCTCCATCATTGGGCCGGCCTATTCATCTTCCTACCAGTTACTCAGTACATGGTCGCCTGCGAAATCTCCGAGTTATCTGCCTCTGCTCTGTATGCAAAGTTAAGAAGATTGAATTGGCAGGAGGAGCTATATTGATCCGCCCCCAATCCCTGATCGTGCCATGTTTATATATTGCCTCGTCCCCAATACAGTCAATCCCAGCAGCGACATGTGCAATGTCTTAAAGGTGTGAGGTGCTTCTTATTTAATCCTTTTGTCAAAAACTTCTGCCCATATGCCACTGTGTGGCACTGTGGTGCTTTCAACAAGTACTTTATTCGTCGCTGGCCCGCTCTCCTTCTACCAGCCAGATGATTACCCCATCTGAGCCGGGCTGTCTGGGGGCTCAAATTTGATGGAGCCGTCTATTGTCTTTATTTGGTTTCGCTGGGGCTCAGCAGTCGCCTACTTTTGAATCACAAAGCTGCGATGCATTCTACTCCCCGGGATCATTGATATATGTCCAAGTCAGCAAAGTGGCATATCTCCACACCAGTATTGCAGACGGGTCAAGTCCAGCCCTTTTTGCCAAAGACCCCAAGACACACCCTCATTCAATCATATTCGTCAATTGTCGACAATACAGTTGCACCGACTATGCGCCCTCGAAGCCTACATAGACCCCCGTTGCTGAGACTTTATACCAACCGATGTGGTACAACAACAATTGCTCTTATCTCCATGAAAGAAAGCCGCGGCTGCCCGTGCTTATCATCGCTGCACGCAAACTTCAAACTATGACGCGGCCGGCTGGCAGGTCCTTTGAATCTTACCCTGGGGTCACGGAGTAAGCAAAGAACTACGTTCCAGCTAAAATAAGCTTAATACTAGCAAAGCCTTAGAAGCATCAATCCAAGACTGGAATAGGCTGACATACGATGCCGATCCGAAGAGCCTCTGGGCCCACGAGTCATTATAGCCAAAGGTTGACGCTGATGGCCTAGAAGAGGTCCACATCTTTCCTACACAAATACTTTTGACTACACAATGATTCTGAGCTTGATGGCTGTTACACTGCATGGCCCAACTGGATGGTCGAATTTGAGTACGACGGTCTATCCAATGCTTTGCACCTACAGTATCTCAGACCCGCCTCATGCCCTGTTGCTGAAAGCTTGGAACAGAGTAAAGCTTTGATCACTGAGCCCAAAAGAAATAGCCAAGGAGCCCTTGAAAATACCTATCTAGCATGGAATTTTGTTGACCGAACGACTGCGTACGCAGCTTTTTGAGCGCGCTTACCGTACTGACTGACTGAACACTCTGATAACGGCGGCGTAGGTGGATGTAGAATTATCCACCAAAGGATACGACCTGACTCGGTGCCACCGGAAAATTTCCCATCGCAGCAAGGCAATATCTTTCAAGCCCTGGTACGTGCCTGCCGTATCAAAAGCAATCATGAATCAAGGAGCTGGGCCTTTTGTGCTTATTTATGCCTGGCACGGACGGGAAACTTGATGGCAAAAAGAGGCTAAAATACCCTACTGATCGCAATTAACCGAGCTTCGTTCTAGATCAACCAGTCTATTTTTTACCTATGAGTTCACCGACTTCGTTTCCGTCCATCATCACTAATTCGCAACCGGGACAGCCTCATTGCAACTTGCGCTTGATGTTTCGTCATGGCCTTTTGAGGTGCCTGGTTAGGTACTGGGGCTTGGATCAATTCCGCTTCCTAGCAACGACTTGGAAGCACTTGCAAACCAGCGAGGGGTGTAAAGGCAGAGCGCCTTCACTTAATTAACGTCGTTATCTTTTAGATGCAACCAGTGCCTTTCTTGAAGATTTGACTGGGATGAATCCTTATGGCCAATGACGCCCCAGGTGGACTCCAGGAACCAACGAGGGGACCCCGCATAGAAGTCCGGATAAAAGGCCATAGTGGCGGGTCCCTCTGGATGCTACGATAGCCCCTCCTCAAATTATTGTCCAATGGATAAAGTCGGACTGAACTATGCTTGCCTCTCTGGAGCATCTTCTGTCCGCATGATCTGCCCTCCGTCATCATTGGTGTCGTGGAAAATTAACACCCGTATAACATGGAGGGGCAGGTATTAAAGCTGGTTGTACCCCGACATTGATCCCCGAATCTTGACTCTTTCACCCTCTTCTGCTCCTTTCGCTTGGTCTTCGCATCATCGCCTTTTGCTTGCCAACTCAATTAACAAAACATCATGGCCACTGCGACCGCTCTCGAGAAGCCAAACATTGGCATTTTCACCAACCCCAAGCATGACCTGTGGGTGGCAGATGCCACGCCGACCCTTGAGCAGGTGAAGAGTGGTGAAAGTCTCAAGCCCGGAGAAGTGACCGTCCAGGTGCGGAGTACTGGCATTTGCGGGTAAGTTGCTCAGATACCCGACGTCGTGTCGAGTTTGCATTGGCCAGACTGACAACCGGCTCTCCAACACAGATCCGACGTGCACTTCTGGCATGCAGGATGCATTGGTCCCATGATCGTTACGGGGGACCATATTCTGGGTCACGAGTCGGCTGGAGACGTTATTGCGGTCGCCCCGGATGTCACACACCTCCAAGTTGGAGACCGAGTTGCGATCGAGCCCAACGTTATCTGCAATGCATGCGAGCCTTGCCTGACTGGTCGCTACAATGGCTGTGAGAGAGTCGCCTTTCTTTCAACTCCCCCTGTGGATGGCCTACTGCGGCGTTATGTCAATCACCCCGCGATCTGGTGCCACAAGATAGGCGACATGAGCTATGAGGATGGCGCTCTGCTGGAACCGCTCAGCGTGTCTCTCGCTGCTGTCGAGCGCAGCGGTCTCCGTCTGGGCGACCCTTGTTTGATCACTGGCGCCGGTCCTATCGGTCTCATCACTCTGCTCAGCGCGCGCGCTGCCGGCGCAACCCCTCTCGTCATCACCGATATTGACGAGGGTCGCTTGAAGTTCGCGAAAGAGCTCGTCCCCGAGGTCCGCACATACAAGGTAGAGATTGGTCTTTCCGCGGAAGAGACAGCAGAGGGCATCGTCAACGTGTTCAACGACGGCCACGGGGCCGGCACCGACGCTTTGAGGCCTCGTCTTGCCCTGGAATGTACCGGAGTCGAAAGCAGTGTCGCTTCTGCCATCTGGAGCGTCAAGTTCGGTGGTAAGGTGTTTGTTATTGGTGTTGGCAAGAACGAGATGAAGATCCCCTTTATGCGCCTGAGCACCCAGGAGATCGATCTTCAATATCAGTACCGGTACTGCAACACCTGGCCTCGAGCGATTCGTCTTGTCAAGAACGGCGTGATCCCCCTGAAGAAGCTCGTTACCCATCGTTATGCACTTGAAGACGCGCTCAAGGCTTTTGAGACGGCGGCGAACCCTAAAACAGGAGCCATTAAGGTCCAGATCATGAGCTCGGCTGCTGATGTTGAGGCAGCTTCCGCTGGCCAGAAAGTTTAATCCGCATCGGTCCCATGATGGAGAAATATCGAGGGCGTTTGAGAGGCGAGTCGCCTTGGCTATGCTTGCTGGGTTCACTTTTGTCCAACGGCGTATGGTGGCTTATTCGTGCATTGCGATGATAATCTTGTGATGTTTTATGACCATTTCCCTAGAGATGTATGCAGGTCTCAATGAGACAATATAGAGATTAGGGTAGAAATCCTTGTTTGCTCTATTTTCTTCTGACTGACCATATATGTCTGGTATGAGCGGTCGAGTCGGGGACGTCCGTTCCCCAAGGTTCCCGACAGATGCATGTGGGCTTCTCCTCTTTCCTCTTTCCTTCAACTCTTTGTCACCCTGCTCTGCGCTGTGGCGACCTTCGGAGAACATACTCAGTATTATTATTGATACGCAATTGAGTCACTGCACATCTGAGCACCTTGCCGCAATATATGAGAAGTTGTGCAGACAGATACGGTATCCGACGTGTCCACTGCTCTTCCCTGGAGATTCGGGACAGTAACCCAAATTCAGTAAAAGAAACGGTATGACGCACATCTATCTGCCTACCTTCACTTACTCCGCATAACCTATGGAGGAGTATGAAGTCACTGTTGATATCGCCTCGGCAAAGCTTCCAAGTTGAGCGGCGATGGTCCTATTGTCCGGAGTTTTCCCAGGCTTTCTCGTGCCTGACCCTGGCCCGGGAGAACATTTAGGCCCCCTGGGCGTTTGCTTGTTGAGTATTGGCATTCAACTCGTCCGAATAATATCCATTAAGTGGTGGTATGTTACAGCACTAAGGACGAAGATCTGCAGACTATCGGCTTGGAGGCCCGTTACTGGTACGATCCCCGATATTTGACCGAGCTCCAGACTCCCCACAAAGCGGGGGAAATCGTCATGAATTGCAATGGCCATGGCTTCGCTCGTCGCTGCAACACTGCGAATGGTGACAACCATGGTCCGAACCTCCAGCAGCCCACACAAATATGGGGAACGAACTTCCGGAGCCTTGTCGGGGCGGGTCTTCAGCCCGAATCCCTTGCTTACCGTAACGAGTCCGATCAATATCCGGGACCATGCCGATGCGAGCTTCTTTCCCATACCTGTCGCGCTCCGGCATACGGTGTACGGGGTAATCGGTTTGGACCGCCGCGCTCATCGGCCGTGCTTTCGAGTCCCTCCTGCCATCTGGCTGCCTTTATTTAAGCAGTGGTGATCTCCCACAGTTGATTTGGATTTCAGCTCATCTCCGATTCTCAACATGCTGGGGTTCTTGCTTCTCTTGCCAGTCGTTGGCGCAGCCGTCATCGGGCCTAGGGCAAGCAGTCAAAGCTGCCCTGGATATAAAGCGTCACATGTGCATGAGAACGGTCATACCTTGACCGCGGACCTGACCCTCGCGGGTAAACCTTGCGACTCATATGGCACCGATTTGAAGGACCTGAAGCTTCTAGTCGAGTACCAGACAGGTGAGTGTTGGCGAGAATAAATAACTGTTAACTCATATTAATACGCCTCTAGACGAACGTCTGCATGTTATGATTTACGATGCGAATGAACAAGTGTATCAAGTCCCTGAGTCAGTTCTACCGCGTGTAGGCAGTGGCAACGGCACTCAGAAGGACTCTACTCTGAAGTTCAACTATGTGGAAGAGCCATTCTCATTTACAGTGACCAGGGGAGAAGAAGTGCTTTTTGATACCTCTGGATCCGACCTGGTCTTCCAATCGCAGTATCTGAATATTCGCACCTGGCTACCGAATGACCCATATCTATATGGCCTCGGAGAACACACTGACTCCCTCCGATTGGAAACAAACAATTACACCCGCACGCTATGGAATCGCGACGCATACGGCCTACCGAGTCACACTAATCTGTACGGTACCCACCCTGTTTATTACGATCATCGCGGTAGTGCTGGCACCCATGGTGTCTTCCTGGCAAACTCGAACGGTATGGACATCAAGATCAACAAGACGCTGGATGGCAAGCAGTACCTCGAGTACAATATCCTTGGAGGCGTCTTTGATTTCTACTTCTTCAGCGGCTCCACCCCCAAGGAAGCCAGTGTTCAATACGCGGAGGTCGTTGGACTTCCTGCCATGCAGAGCTACTGGACATTTGGCGTAGGTTCTCATTCCTGGAACAGTCGCACCAGGACCAACAAAATTGAGATGATCACAGCCGCTGACAATTCCTAGTTCCACCAATGCAAATATGGCTATCGTGATGTTTACCAATTGGCTGAGGTGGTGTACAACTACAGCCAGGCCGGAATTCCCCTAGAAACCATGTGGACCGACATTGACTACATGGAACTGAGAAGGGTGTTCACTCTCGACCCTGAGAGGTTCCCTCTAGAAAAGATGCGTGAGCTTGTGGATTACCTCCATGACCATGATCAACATTATATCGTCATGGTTGATCCCGCTGTGAGCGCGAGCGGTAAGCTCTTATGAAATTTAATATTGGAACCGACATTGACAGATCAATAGACAACCCCGGTTATCATAGGGGAGTTGAGCAGGACATCTTCCTCAAGACACAGAACGGCAGTCTATACCAAGGTATACACGCCCAAACAAGACGACCATTTTTCACTGGTATTAAAAGCTAACGCACGTCCAGGTGCTGTGTGGCCAGGCGTAACAGTCTACCCCGACTGGTTCCATCCTGATATTCAAGAATACTGGAACGGGGAGTTCAACAAGTTCTTCGATGCTGAAACAGGTATCGACATTGATGGCCTATGGATTGACATGAATGAGGCCGCGAATATGTGTACATTCCCCTGCACCGATCCGGAAAGATACTCTATTGAGAATGATCTCCCACCCGCACCACCCGCTGTCCGGCCCAGTAACCCTCGGACTCTACCCGGGTTCCCTGCCGACTTCCAGCCAGCTTCGTTGAAGAGATTTGCCAAGAGAGTCCATGACGATAAGCTTGGACTGCCTGACCGCAATCTTCTTAGCCCGCCGTACTCAATTCAGAACGAGGCTGGACCTCTCAGCCAGAAAACCATCCAAACCAACATCGGTCACGCCGGGGGTTATGTGGAATACGATACCCACAACCTTTATGGAACCAGTAAGTCAGCTGTTGATTTAAATGCTTCTCTGTCTGACCCATGGTTTAGTGATGAGCTCGGCCTCTCGCATTGCAATGCAGCAACGTCGTCCCGACGTTAGACCTTTGATCATCACTCGTAGCACATTTGCAGGCGCCGGAGCACACGTTGGACACTGGTTCGTAAATCCCTGCCTAAAGATCTGACCCAGTGCTAACACTCCACAGGCTCGGTGATAATCTCAGCACATGGGAATTGTATCGAACTTCCATCGCCCAGATCCTAGCCTTCGCCTCGATGTTCCAGATCCCTATGGTAGGAGCTGATGTCTGCGGCTTTGGCTCAAACACCACAGAAGAGCTGTGTGCCCGCTGGGCCTCCCTTGGAGCCTTCTACACCTTCTACCGCAACCACAACGAGATCGGCGGCATCCCCCAGGAATACTACCTCTGGGAGACCGTGACCGAATCCGCAACCAAGGCCATCAACATCCGGTACCAACTCCTTGACTACATATACACTGCCTACCACCGCCAAAGCGAGACCGGCGAGCCCTTCCTGCAACCTCTATTCTACCTGTACCCGGAGGACAAAAATACCTTCGCCACCGACCTGCAGTTCTTCTACGGCGACGCCCTCCTCATCTCTCCCGTCACTGAGGAAAACTCCACCTCCGTCAACGCATACTTCCCTAAGGATATCTTTTACGATTGGTACACCGGGGCCACGGTGCAAGGTCAGGGCGCCAATATCACCTTGTCCAATATCAACATCACTCACATCCCCATTCACATCCGTGGCGGCAACGTGATCCCCATCCGCTCTTCCGGCGCCATGACAACCACCGAGCTGCGCAAGAAAGGCTTCCAGCTCATCATCGCCCCAGGGACAGACGGGACTGCCTCGGGAAGCCTGTATTTGGACGACGGAGACTCCCTGGAGCAGACCGAGACTGCGAACATCGACTTCGAATACCGCGGTGGCGTTCTGGACATTAAGGGGCAGTTTATTCGTGATGCCCCTGTTAGCATTGAGAGCGTTGTCTTGCTTGGTCAGGAGACTACCGTGGCTGGGGCGCAGAAGCAGGTTACTAAAACCGGTTTGGAACTTACTGCGCCTACAAGGGTGAAACTAGCTTGATGTCTTAGCAAAGGCATATTTGAACCATGTCTCACGGTTGATGTTATGCATGTGCTTTCTTGGGTAGACTATCTAGAAGGAGCAATATTATACCTACCTCTATACAGACCTCTCAGCCTAGAATTAAATCTGCATAAAGACACACGTGGCAATCACGGTTGTTTGAACTTATGTAATATGCTGTTGAAGCTGCTGTCCAAGGCCCAAGCATATCAGGAATGCAAAAGATAAAGTACGTCCCAGGGCTGAGGGACCTTCCCTTTACCCCCGTTTACATGTGCCTGCCATTTTTTGACGCAACTAGCCATCTATATCGTTGAAATTATAAGATCCAGTCTCTGATTAAGGTGGCTGTCCCGAGGCCCTATCCCCTCTTCTAATTCATTCCTAAGTTAGGTTGCTTCAGTTTATCTACCAAATCCCCTCAATATCCGATAATCATCATATACTTGAGACCACCAGATCCAAAACAGCAACCATGCATCTCTTCTTCTCAGCCTCTGTCTCCTTTCCTTCTCTCTAGCCGGCCCAACACTCGCTGGTCGACCCTGGTTCTGCCCTCTAGCTTCGGACGCAAAGTCCCTCCAGGTCCCATACTGCTGTGAGGAGTTTGTTCCCGCGCGTGACTCGAAGGTTTCGTTCGAGGGTGCTAATTGTGCGTGTATTCTGTGTACCATTTCATATATTCTATGTCTTCTCTCGTCTTCCCTTGTTGAAGGGAGCGTGCACGTGTTTAAACTACTCGATGATGGATGCTAATGGGACTGTTGGTAGGCATTGATGTCTCTCGAATGGCGACTTCGTGAAGACTTGCGCGTTGGGTGGGACGCCAAAATGCTGTTATGACATTGTGAGTGCCTCTGCTATGGTATTCGTATTGAAGGAGGAGAACCCGGCTGATGAATGGTCGTGTAGGGACCGGAGGTTATTTGCACAACTGAGGTTGGTGCTGGAGTTGACGTAGGGGAAGCCTCGTGAACTGCCACCGTGAATGGCAGGAGCGAAAAGTTGGCAAGCTTGGTCGTCTTTTGAGCATCAGGTTTGAAGGTTGAGACGACTAGATATCGAGACGACAATTCATCAAGTCCTCCGCATTGTATCGAAACACTCTCTTCGCTACGGCCCACGAGCCACACCGTCGTAGAATCATCTCTGTAAATGGTTCAATATCAATGTTGCGGAATCTAGTGTGAGGCCAGTCTGTAGCATATAACACCCGGTGAGGCACCTCGCGTATGAACTCGCGAGCCATGACGTCAATATCTCGAAGATTTATATCCTTGCTGAAGCGATATGGTGCGGAGACTTTCACCCACGTATTTCCCCGATGGAGTAGAGCCATTAGTGACGGGAAACCCCGTAAGAGGTACGGGTCGAAATATTGCCCCTGCTCCCAGTCCACTTTGGGGAGATCAGGACATCCAAAATGGTCGATGCAGACTTTGACGCCGAGTTTTGGAATGATGTCTTCCAAGTGTGACATCGTGCTCATGGGTGTGTGGATCTGAATCATCCAGCCCAGCTCTCGAATGAGTTCTGCTCGTTTTGAGAGCGCATTGTCTAGTTGTTGATGAGATGGTGTCATCCCTTTGGACATGAAGTTCACTCGTACGCCGCGCACACCCAGTGCGTGCCATTTTCTCAACGTTGGCCGTTTTGTCTCGAGCGGGTCTATATCCACCACGCCTCGCCCGTGATAAGGTCCAATGTGCCGAAGGGCTTCGAGAAGACATGAGTTGTTAGTACCGTAAATCGAAGGTTGAACCAGGACGATGTTCTGAATTCTAAGAGATGACTCGAATGCCATTGCGTCGTCGAGTTTCTGATCTGGTTTGCTAAAGTATGGTGCCCCTTCGACGACTGGGTATTTTTTGTCCGTGACGTGCATATGACTATCCCAAGATCCAGATGGGATCCATTCTCTTAATGGTTTGGGTTTTGTCAGCCTCATGGATGATTCAGTGCCCAGAAACGCCTTGGATTGTCTATAGAGGTCTAATCCCGGTTTGATGCGCGTCCACGCAGGAGCCCAAGTGGTTCGAAGCGTCGGCAATGCCGTTGAAAAGCAGTGTCGCACTATCATTGTGAGAGCTGAGGTGCCTGTGTTTCGCACGGCTGCGCTATGATGATCTTCGGCACACTATATTCAAAGAGTTTCTGGCCTCCAAGGTAATGGACACCCAGGTTCAAAGATTGAGAGTGATTAACGAATCACGGAGGACGAGGATAGCGCGTCGGGAATAAAAACAAAGCTTGGCTCAATGTCAGTTGGCGACATGACTTGCACAGTGCAGTTCTCTTCTCAGGTTCTCATGTTGTTTGATTATTTCAGAGTCGACAACTCGGCATTTGTTGCTTGATGAAGGTTTTTGATCCGATGCTGTGCCTGGTTCAGCAGGATGGGCCCGATGATGAGAGAGTGGAGGCTGTGGATCCATCAGGAGAAGTCCAATCGATCCCAAAGCTCAATCAACATACCTCAGGGTCAGGTTATTCTCGCGATTTTGATGGGATTGTAACTTTCAGGGCATCGCTTCTTGGTAGATGAATAATTTCTCGACGAAAGCAATTGCCGATGAGCGTGACTGGGAGAAAGACTACCGTTCGGAAGTTGACCGAGCAGCGTCTTGCTTGAAGATCTTCCTCATCCCACATCCCTCGGGCCCTCCGTGTTGACACCTCATGATCCTCCCGATCCCTCTGCCGAATTTCGAATGTCAAATTTCGGTCTGAGAGTTGCGGAATCAGCCCGAGACAGAATATTGTGGCCCCGCCCCGTCGGCAGTCTCCCGCGATGAGGCGGTTGGAGTTGGACAGGTCGCGGTGGACCACCCCTCCCTTCTACGCGTTTGTGATCCTCGTCATTGCTTGTGGCAGTATCCCTAAAGGTTTACATCTTCTATTCCGTTACTTTTCGTCAAATTGCGTACTAATATTTGAAGTCTCTAGGCTACGATGAAGGTGGATACAGCGCCTCTGTGCGCTTGGACTCCTTTAAAACCGACTTCAACCTCCTCGAATCGAACTGGACGAACGACGAGACTGGATTAGCGAACCGCACGGCGAATATAACATCCTTCAATGTCTTGGGCGCGGCACTGGGTGCTTTGATATCTCTGGACTTGAATGACCGGCTGGGTAGACTGCGGTCATGGCGATTGGCCTGTGTAGTATGGATGTCGGGCACCTTCATCCAGGTGTTTGCCTCCGGAATCTATGGCCTGTTGCTGTTTGCTAGGATTTGGGCTGGACTCGGCGCTGGGGCGTTGACCGTCGCGACGCCACTATACTTGTCTGAGATCGGTTCGTGAAGTGTACCTGGAAGGAGAAAACGTAGCTGATTGTTCTCAGCGCCCACGCGTACGCGAGGCCTGATTGTCAGTATCTATATGGTTGTCCTGCTGACAGTGCTAGCTCTTGGTAAGAAGCTCCTGAACACATGAACAATGCTCTATTCTGACTCGTAACAAGGTTTCTTCATCAACTACGGCGCAAAAGTTCACATGTCTCCAACACGGATCCAGTACCGCCTGGTGCAATCTATCCCTCTAATACCTGTCGGAATCGCCTTCGGCGCCTCGTTCGTAATTCCCGAGACCCCCCGCTACCTCATTTCGCAATATCGCCTTGATCAAGGACGTAATGTCCTCGCCCGCCTTCGCGGAACGGACATATCCTCCCCCGAAATTGAGGATGAGTTCAACCTCATAACCACCCAAACACGCCTCAGAGCCGACACTCTTTCCTCCGCCTCCAACTGGACAGCTCTCAAAGAAACTCAAACGAACCCCAACTACCGCCAACGTTTCTGGCTCCTAATCGCCATGCAGACGATCTCTCAATGGACCGGCGGCAACGGTATCACATACTACGTTTCCACCATCTTCGAGTCCGCCGGCGTCACAGGAAACGCCACATCCCTCATCTCCTCAGGCGCCTATGGAATCGTCAAGCTTGTCTTCACCATGGCCTTTACATGGGGTTTAATCGACTACATAGGCCGTCGTCGTTGCGCTCTCCTTGGCTTGACACTTCAATTGGCAGCTCATGTCTACTTAGCCTGTTACATGGGCGTCCTCCGTCCAGTCGATGATTCGAAGCCCATAAACGAACCCGCGTCCAACGCAGCCATTGCATCTATTTTTATCTACGCCGTCGGCTGGTCCGTCGGCCTTTGCACAATCCCTTACCTCTACGGGACAGAAATTTTCCCCACGCGCATTCGCAATGTCAGTTACGCCGTGAGCATGTCACTGCACTGGTTCTTCCAGTTTGCTGTTGTGCGCGTGACGCCAAACATGTTTGTCTCGCTGCATGACTGGGGCGCGTACCTGTTTTGGGCCATCATCTGCTTCGTTGGTCTAATTGTTCTTGGCATCTGGATGCCAGAGACTAAGGGGGTTGATATTGAGCGGATGGGAGAGCTCTTCGAGGGACCGTGGTATCTCAGGTGGCGAGCTCGAGTTCAGCCTAAAGAGGGTGAGCGGGTTGGTCCTTAAAGCCTGACTTGGTTTTGGCGTTCCGCACCATTTTGCTGTTTGTTAACCCTGTGCTGATCTTTTAATTATATGGTCATGAACTTGCTATATACCCCGTTAACTTATACATATGACATATCTACATATAATGCGCAATAATGTTTGCATACCTAAATTAACAACCTCTCAAGACCGGCCAACCCATCCATATCCCTCCGCAGGCGTCATGTTTGTGGTGATGGGCTCCGCGTACGAAAATGCCTCAAATACCTCGGGAGTAATCTCGTACGAAGCGGGATTTTCTAAAGACATCAAAGTGTCCGGTAACCCGCGCAGATCGTGCGTCACTGCGACTTGCGGAAGGCCACGATGGGCTGCCTCAAACTCCGATGCATGGAGAGATGATTGGTATGGGTAGAATTGACCGCCAGATGCGCCAGTATCGACGTCCGCATAGGATATTGTGGAAGAGGTTCTATGATGTGTGGAGACGCGATGAGTCGTTGGTGGTATACCATTTAGAGGATATTGCTCAGCGGGAGAATGATGATGTGCTGCGGACGGTTGTTGTAATAATTGAGGTTGCGGTGCGTTCTGTTGTGGGATTGAAAGGGGAATATTGTGATCAACGCGCAGACGCTGAATTTCTTGGTATATGAGACTCAATGCGGTGGTAATTACTATATGAATATATGGTTAGTCTAAAGCGAACATTTCAATGATTTCGAGAAGCATACCAGGACTAGAAACTCTAACTCCCTCTAAGGCAAAGATGCAGATTTTCAATTTATCCAGAGTGCCCGGAGCCGCGTGTTTCAGCGCCTGGATCTCAAGGAGGAAGATCGACGCGGCCGTATACACGCTATAGGCGATTGAGAGCACGATGTGGCTTTCCCCAAATGTGCGTCGGTACATCGAAAATATGGAAAGAATGGCAGTTGCGGACGTCATGCAATGGACTAAGTGGCTTTTGTCGTACGCCTCGCGGCTCCATTTCGAACAGAGAATTGGCCGGTGGGTCAGGATGTTGATAGTGTGATAGAGGCAGCTACAACATCACGTCAGTCTCCGTAGAAAACGGTAGGATCAGGGCAAGCCTACTTTAACGTTACAACATGGCTGGGAGGAGAGTATGGAGGTAGATCTGTTGGGACGAGTTTCAAATGTTCGGGCAAATTGTCCCACCATCCACCGAGGTTGCGGGACTGTTCGCGAACGCAACTATGAAACTCTGCCTCGGAGATCTGGCGGCTGTGGTCGTAGATATGAACCAGAATCTGATTCAGAATTTCCATCAATCCACACATCTCTATGAAACAAGAGGTGGAGTGGGCCTGGGTTGGAGGGTATTGGGAACCGTCGGGAAAAACAACCCCGTGGGGGGTCCAGGGCTCGGACTCAGATGTATCGTCCAGAATCGTGCGGGGAGGGCAACCTTGCGAGCTTTGTAATGTCGGAGACCTGCCGAAGTACAAAGACATCATTTTGTCCCAGAAGTAACAACTCCAGAAAAGACGATTCCGGATCTCGATATCCTCATCGCTTAGCTGGGCGGAGTCCGAGTACTTGCGGCTGTCGATTGTGATGCCCAGGTCATCTAGCATTCGAAATGCCATCCCACTATATAGCCATGCCTGGGTTCTGTTTCCCTGCCCACATTCACGTGCACTAAGGAGGAGCATGGTTTGTATAGTAGGTATATCCACATGGCCGTCTCTTAGCGAGTCATGAAGCCCTGACACAGCACGATGCCAAAATACGGCCCCACCCTCATATTGCTCCAAAAGAGGACTGATCCTAGGCTCAGTTTTGCACCACCGAACAGAATGCGAGAGAATTGCGTGGAGCAGAGCGTCAGAATAGTAAGGGCCGTTGAGTTTCATATCGCCTTGTAGCATACAAATCAGCATCACTTTATGGGGTGTAGGCCAGGGCGTTGCATACGAGTAAATGCCGGTCTGTAAACAAAATTGAACAGTGGCTGAATCCAGCACCAGTGAGAATCAAGAAGGTATTGGAAGGGCTCCTGGTCCGAATATTGATCAGTTGACAGCGGTCGTAAGGGTAATGGCCCGACAACGTACAGGCATGGTAGCCATCTGCTCGATCGCTCTCTCGCGCCATGCATTGTTGACGAGTCTCTCTTTACGATTGACCGCTTGCTCGGCAAGCTGGGAGTTTGATATAGCGGGATTCAATGCACCGCTTGGCAGTTGAAACAAACTCGTTGGTCCATGGAAGGAAACTCGGCCATCATGTTCGACTTTGAGCCCTTCAAAGTCCCTCGACAGATCCTGGTCATCGTCGGCCTCATCGTCTTTACGATTTGAAACCGTAGACTTCAGGCTGGCTTCGTTCGTCGAGGCGGCAGATGAGGGTGTTCCTGCGGCAGCATCTGGGGTCTGCTGGCTGCAGTGTTTTGACAGAGCATCTTCTAGCTCTGCCACTCGCCTCTCTAATTGCTTTGTATAAGCTAAAGTAGGAGCTCTAAAGCACCAAACATCAGTAAGTGCTATAAAAGAGATCGGCAGGCGTCCGAGGATAGATTGTCCCCAATTATGCAGGGCAAGCCACCAAGAATGGGAAGCCGATCTAAGATTCGGAAAGGACTCCAACTCACAAGCTATAGACGCAGGGGGTCCCTCGCGCAGCACATCGCGAACAGGATGGGCTGGCTCCGTTGCATTTTACCTAGTGACAAATTGCCGGTAAGCGACAGGGGACACCACTTCGGGATCTGTCCGAGCAGATAAACAGGGCGGAAGAAAGAAGAAAACCCACTTTGCGCTTGCGACAACCCTCGCACGAAAAGGCACTTTTGCGGGACGGATTGGGCTTTGATGGCGCGTCGGCCATGGCCGATGATTTGGTTTCTCTGACCATGAAAAAGAAGTTGAGAGGGCCATGAAGACGAGATCAGGGAAAGGAGGGAGGAGGTCGGACCGAGCCCAGCTCAGTAGTTATAATCGGAGGCTCTGCACTCCGAAAAATCGCGAGTCCAAGAGATCCCAAAGTCGAATTCTGACAGTTCGATCCCCCTCATCGGAGGCTGAGCGACATCGCACTGATCGCAGCAAGGCGGGGGAGCTGGAGAGTGGAACCTGAACTGGAACTGGACTCCTGGAGAAAGAGCTGGAGGGCGAGCCAGACTTTCTTCATCCCACGCTTTTTCGGGCAATCTCAACGATCGGCGAATCAACGTCCTCACGATGGGCCTAAATCATCGTCAAATTTAGCATCACTGGCTGTGTACTCTGGGAGCCTTCAGGTATCCCCAGTCCGACAATTATTGACAATCACTTTCGTCACCGGCTCCGACCTCACGCATTACTCGGTGACTACATGACTATACTGTACAAACCCACCACTCCTAGGTCTATCGATACTGTATCATACAAAGTGCTTGTCCAGCTGCACCAGTAAATTATGAACTTGGTCAACCGGCAATGCAATCGCTCGTGGTTTCTGCAGAGCTTTCTCCCCGACCTGTTTGGCTAGCACTGCCCGCAGCGTCTCGGCACTCCGGTCAGGTTTGCTGTTCAGCTGGCCCGTAACATCAACAGTGATCCGAGACTCTGCTAAATCCTTCGGGCCGAGGACAAAAACGAGATTATATTTCATCTGCTTGGCCCTCTGGATCTTCTTGCTGAGCGTCTGCGGGCTCGCATCGACATCGATCATAAACGTGGAGTCTGTAGCTGACAGAGGCTTAGGGATTCCATCGGCCGCGCTTTGGTCGAGAGCTTTAAATCCGGAGATCTTTGCCGCAGCTTCGTGCGCCTGGTTTACAACAGCATCGTCCTGGTTTACTGTCAAAATAATGCCTTGCCGAGGAGATAGCCAGAACGGCCAGCGGCCGGAGTATTGCTCAATGAGCAAGGCGAGGAAACGCTCCAGAGAGCCAAAGTTAGCCCGGTGAATCATGACGGGCGTTGCTCTTCCGGGTGTATCCGGGTTATAGTCTTCCTCCCCTTCCGCGACTTGGTACTCCAGTTCGAACCGCCGAGGCAGGTTCATGTCCAGCTGAATAGTAGACAACTGATGATACTTTCCAGCTTGATCCTGTAGCTGAATATCAATCTTGGGCCCGTAAAATGCACCATCGCCTTCGTTAATCGCCCACTCCTTTCCAGTTTGATCTAGAGCTTCGCGCAGCTGAGCTTCCGCACTGTCCCACAGCTGAAGATCGCCGATGAAATCCTTCTCAGGCCTTGTCGACAGGACCAATCGATATGGCCCTAATCCAAATGTTGACATCACCAAGTCGACGAATCCAAGCGCGGATTTGATTTCCCCCTTGATTTGTTGCGGTCGACAAAAGATGTGACCGTCATCTTGGTGGAATCGCCGAACACGCGTGAGGCCGCTCAACGAACCAGAAACCTCGTTTCGGTGTAGCGGACTAAAGTCGGCATAACGTATAGGAAGCTCGCGGTATGAATGGTTCTGTGACTTGAAAAGCAAGCAATGTCCCGGGCAGTTCATCGGTTTTAGCCCGTAGGACTCGTCCTCCCCAGCATCCCCCTCTGTATCTCCCAGGGCCCCACGCCCGCGTACTTCGTACATGTCATCTTTGTAATTTTTCCAGTGGCCTGAAACCTCCCAGAGCGATTGCTTGTAGATTGTCGGCGTCAGGACCTCGCGAAACCCATACTGGAGGTATTGTGTACGGAGGAAAGAGATAAGCTTGTTGATGATATGAGTGCCGTTCGGAAGGAATAGAGGTGATCCGGGACTGTAGATAGATGTGGTGAAGAGGTCTTGAGCTGTTCCTAGAGCGCGATAGTCGGCCGAGGATGCAGCTTGATTTTCGGGGGGCTGTTGCTGTGGTTGTTGGTCAGAGCATGAGCATCGCCGTAGAGACGTCGATGAGAGCCATTGGATCCTGGTTGGCGGATATCGATAGCCGCCAGGCCTCTTGAATGGTATTGAATGTCGTAGTAACGGAGATAATCGGCGCATGTTGATTTGAAAAAGAGCGAAGAAGTCTTCCATTGATCGCAAATTATTTGATGGATCGGCGAGTCGCCGACCTCCGTAATCCCGTGATGGCCCAATCAGGACTAGTGGTGCCGCTTGTTTTCTTCCCCGCCAGCGTAGATCGACACAGTATAAAACGCTTTGTGTTCTTCAAGATCTACCTACCAACTGCTCTAGCACATGTACACCTGTTTACCCTAAACCACGTATCGTATCTTCTACTACGCACTATACTAGCTGTGCTATTTGACCAGAACCAAGCAAAGTGTTTTATACAGCGCGACGTTCGCGCCTAAAGCTTGATATCGCCGACAGAAACTCAGCGCTAACTCGATGTCTGCCTCAGTTCTGGGGGAATCATGGGTGGTACCTTCAGTCAACACTGTGAATGAGGATACAAAAGTCAAGAGCCCTCCGGAGACCCCGAAACAGACTCAAACTGTCAAACAATCTGAACATGAACATGGATCCGAGTCGACTACCTCGTCCGTGCCAGGACCAGACTTGATTATGCCCTCAATATATGAGACGCCTATCGCCGAAGCATCATGGGTTGCACCGAATTTGCGAACAAAGAAAGAAAGTTCAAGCCTCAGGAGAAGACATCAAAACTCTGCCGAGCCCGCCAGGGCAAAGACGACCCCCGAGACCCCAACCAAGGACGCCGATTCGACCACGACCTGCACAAATCAAACTGGGTCTTATCGTACATTATTCGAAACACCAATCCGCACCATAATCAACATCATCCTTCTCGCTACAATCTCGCATTTACTCATACTTCCCGAACTCGTGCAGCAGTACCAAACCTTGTGCTCCATAGATGCAATTTCGCGACTATATCCAGCCAGATGTGTCTTACCCTATCATTCGCCTTTCAGCGCGCATACAGACAGCCAAACGCCTCAGACGGAAGCAGTTTCGTCATCTCAGGCACGCCTGGAATTCCTTTTCAATGCGACCCTGCATGAAATGGCCCCGCTCAACATTTCCTTGAAGCAGACAGAGTCTCAACTCCGCACAGTCGAACAAGAATTAAGGCTGGCGCAACCAGGAACAAAGCACGAGCTGAATCTGGAATTTGAGAGCTGTTGGCGCGCTATCCGCCTCGCGGCATGGAAATTTGACTCCCTCAAGGTGGACCTCCAATCTGCAGTCGATAGTCTCGTCGCAGCAGGCGATCTGAAACCGAGCTCGGCACCGACCGAGTCTCGATCTTCCTTCGCCAACGATGCCCGTCTGTCTACCCAGATGCTACGTCGTGAGAACTACGTTAACCAGCTTATGGCACGCATGCGCTCCAAAGCTGACTCCCTTGCCGCTGATCTCGCCACGCTCGATGACCACCTCGAATCGATCGAGAGCATCGTCAATCGTGAAACAAAGCATCCAGGCACCAAAGACTCCTCCAGTCGACTCGTAGCTTTTGTAGACGCCATTGTTCCTCCCAGTGTCACACTCCCTTCATTTCTCTGCACGCGTGGGAGCGAAGAACCGGACGACAGCAACAGCGAGGATACATCTGCTCCCTCTCTAAAACTCACCCTATCACAAATCTTTCAGGAAGCCACGAGCCACCATCGTCCCGTTGCTGGCCTAGCAAGGAATCTATCGAAGCAGCTACAGCAATCTTTGCAAAACAAAAGAAACATCACCCATTGAGCTATGCATGGACTTTCATGGATTCACGACATACCATGATGACGAAGATTCAATACGAGAATCAGATTTGATACCCACGGACTTTTGGCTAGGACTTTGGCGTTCTTGTTGACCATCTACATATGCATTATTTGTTGCTTCGAGGTGCTTAACGGTATTCAAAGGATTCAAAGTAACGGGGTTGTTTATTCTTTCGTTATTATCTAGGTAGCATGTACCTTCTTGTAGCGTCTTTGTAGCATCTAAGCGTTCTGGTTCACATGAGGTTGCATCAAAGAAAGACAAGAAAAATTGACTTCGCCCAGTCATAACCTGATGCACAAAACAGACATCAAGTGACAGGCCATGGCAGGAAGATTAAAAGTGGGGGTGTTTCATAACAAGATCCATCGAGATAAGGGTATGCAACCTGAACCAAGAATGTCAGATCAACAACAGGGTGAGCAAAAAAAGCTACAAGATCATTGCTCGCTTCGTAAAGGGTCAACCAAATCAGTGAGATGTATCGTATTTACATCAGAAGTATGTGCAGTGTCTTCGAAATCATAACGCGAAAAAAGTAAATTACAGCTGAAGCATGGCGGCCATCATGCCGAGGACTGTGAAGAGTCCGCCAGCAGAGCGGGTCATGGATGAGGCAGCGCCCGTGAACTGGGGATCCTCCGTGCCTCCGCCGGAAGTGGGAGTTGCGCTTCCGGAGGCTGAAGGGGTGGAGGATCCAGAGCCGGAGTCAGAGCCAGAATCAGATCCAGCACCAGCACCAGCACCGGAGTCGGAGCCAGAACCAGAACCAGAGCCGGTTTCAGTTGCGGTGGGAGAGGCAGGCTCGGACTCGGAGCTGGTGGTGGTCGAGGTTGTGGTCGAGGCCGGGGTGTCGGTCTCAGTTGAGGTTTCGGAGTCGGTGGTGGTGGTGGTGGTCGTGGTCGTCTCGGTGGTAGAGGAGGTACCCGTCTCCGTCTGGGGCTTGTCGGTGGACGAGGTGGCCACGGTGGTGCTGGTAGTGCTGGTCGTCTTGGTGGTCGACACAGCAGGAGGCTTGGAGTTGTCGATATCGATGCTCTGCCAGTCACCCGAGTTGTCGGTATAGGTGTACTCGCTGCCGGGGTAGGTGTTCTCGATAGAAACGGACTTGACGTACATGGTGAAGGGACCGGCGTTGTAGTCAGTCTGACCACCAGCCCATTCAATGGTGCCGGGAGCGTTGTCAGAATCACCACCAGCCCAGATGCCGAGTCTCAGGCGGGCAGGGGTTTGGGGGAAGCGGCTTCCCCCCTGGGCGTCGGCATAGTTCAGGGTCCTAACGGTAGTACCGTCAATGATCCAGGAGATCGCATCGGGCGACCAAGTGACAGTGTAGGTGTGGAAGATCTCCTGGGGAGTAGCGATAGCCTCAAAGGTGCCACGATCGTAAGTGGTGGTATCGCCCTTGCCGAAATAGTTGGTCTGAACCTGGGTGGTGTCGCCTCCAAGAGTCTCCTGCATAACACAATCCTAGTCAGAAGGGTTTTCACGTGGGTGGACGCACATGCAGGTAACAATGAAATGTTTGCTTTTGTTACAATGCAAATGACAAAGAAAAAGCAAATATGAGACGTACCCAGTCGACTTCATCGAGAACATCTGACTCGAGGACAATGCTGCTAACGATACCAACACCGGGTGCGGCCTTCATCACCACCTCAGCCTTGCCAAAGAAAAAGTAGAAATCGGTATCGATGGTAGGCGCATCGCCCTTCTTTGCGACAGTGAACTCGGCACCATCAGGGCCGAAACTGACATCGCCAGCAGCTTTGATCCAACCATTCAAGGCAGATTCGCCCTGCGTGAAGTCGGAAGAGAAAGACTTGCTGTTCAGGCCAGGGTTTGGATCGCAGGTCTCTGTTACACTGTGTTAGTCCTCGATTGACAAGAGAAACAATCAAACAGGAAATTCACTTACTCTCCAGAGGGTTGCAGTCAGTGAACGTCTGGGCGAGAGCGACGGGAAGCACTGAGACCAGTGCAGCAGCGTATTTGAGATGCATGATTGAGCGTGGTGGCAGTTCTTGACAAGAGAGAGGAAACGAGTAGTCCAGAAATGGGGGACCCAATTCTATTTATGAAAGGATCCTTGAAAGGAAGCTTTCAGCTGGCGCGATCGAAAGAGAGTCTGCCCCAGAAAAAGCGGAGGCTAGGAGTCCACCGACGGAAAAAGCAAAAGGCAAAGATAAAGTGAAGGACAAGAGGAGAAGGTTGTCGTTGCTACGGAGAAGACAAGCGGGGAGTCAAGGTGAATAATATACGAGAGGCTCAAAGCCTCTCTGAGGATCATGCAGTCACACTAAATACTTCCCCTCAAAGAGTCAACACCAAAGAGTCTCTTTGATACGACCAACCACCACAGAAGGTTCCTCGGGCCGCCAGCGAGGGCAATCTCGAGTCAGGGATGTCATTGGAGGCAAAACGGCTGTGCCCCTGGTTACACTCCGGGGTGTGATTTAGTGAATGAACGAATTCAGCGGTAATAAATAGAGTGGCGCCAGCCTCCAGGGTTGTGTCTGAGGGCTGAGTGCCAGAGTGGTCACTGGCCACAAAATCTGAATTGAATCAACAATGTGATTGAAGGAGCGACAGCTGATGGAGCCTCTGACCAACGATCTGTCGGTGGAGGGGCTGGAGTCAGACCCAGTCTAAGACATCATACTATACTAGGGTCCTCTAGGCGAGGTCCGTGATGGTTCGTCCGCATGTGGAAGAGTGGATTCGAGTGAGTGGAAACAACAGGCCGGGATGATCGCTAGCGAACAACCCGGGGAAAACGCTAAGAGTCTTAGTCCGAACGGGCTCTTATGCCGAGCACAACCAGTTTAGTTGCAGTGTGCACGAGGCCGGAGAATGGGAGCTCAATACTGCGGTCGAGGCGGTCACCTGTGGAAATTATAGCCGCATCGATCAGAAAATCCCCGAACCCAGACGCAACGGATGAGCTTGCATCCCTCTCGATTATTCTATACTGGACCCTGTCCAATCACTATAGTGTCTAGTTTCAGGTTAGGCGCCTCATGAAGGGCTAGAGTACTGGATGTACGCCCCGTCCTGCGCCGAAGTCTCGCTAGCGGGTGCCAAAGTTCCATAGTCATGCTTGTGGAGGAAGAGCTTTGTTCGTGCACGGGTAGAAAACGCCCCATCGCGTGGTTCCACCACTGCCTTTCTTGAATTCACTCGGTCAGCCTGGGAGGGAATGATGATTTGCAGTTGATCTGTCTGACAATTGTCGCAGATTTTCTGGGATGCTGCAATCATGATTGTCAGCATGGCGTAACCGACTACTCCTCGATGGAGTCGATGCCAACCTCGCACTTACTGACGGAATAGTGACTCAACAAAGAAAGGTTATATTTGTCAAGAAATTTGATGTCTCAGCCAACATTGATACTTCATTAAAGTAAAAATTGGACGTATCCACAGATAAGAGAATATGCAGGAACTCGAAGGTAAGGGCTAAAGTGGTATCGGCCGGAGGTTTCGCCGAGCCTCCTCGCAAGCCCAAGAGGAAAACCAATATTTTCCATTAATTTTGCAGCCATGACAAAGCCCTGAATCATCTCTGCAGCTGCCTACTCTTTTCACTACTAGAACCAGTTTGCCCGGCGAAATGAGTCTAAGAATAGGACTGAGAACCTCTGGTACAGGCAGAGACAAGCGGCTCATATGATGGATCATTGATTCCACTTGAGAGACCGAAATGGAATACAACGCCGGCCAAGGAGGCTGAGCTGAGCCCGAGCCAGAAAAGTTCATCACGAGCAGTGGTCTCACTTCCAACTCTCGAGTCTCTGCCTTCTGCAAGGTTCGATGGTTAAACCCTTGGAGTTGACTTAATCAACTCCAGTTGAGATTATTAATGAGTGGCAGGGCTGTTGAATGTTGATGCCTGATTCTGCCTTCGTGTCTGACACTAACTCCCTGAATCCTTGATGACTAACCGCCTTCCCAAAACAGTCTTGTTGAGGGAGTGACGACGCTGGCAACGGCGATTGGCCGACTGGCCGGCAGTTCAACTGTTTCAACAAATCAACGTGGAATGATCTGCCCCGGCATCAGGCACCTGATGACCCCCCGCCTTTTGTACACACTCCCCTCTCAACAACAACTGTCTTTTCATCTTACCTCTCTTCAATCTAGATATGCACTGATTATGCAACACACTCCTTCAAACCAAGCGAAACCACTCACCATGGCCTCGAAGTCCATGCCGTCCTCGCGGTCTCACAGTGTCTGTATCTCTCGCGCCGCCTCGCCCGCCACACTCTCCCTCGTCTCCTCCGCCCTCCCAATCTCCGATCCAGAACCCTCTGAGAACAACAAAGTCTACATCCCGCTCTGCTTCTGTCTGATCTCGTTTGCCGTCATGATCTGTGTCAACTAGTCTGTGCGGGGAGGTTCAACAAGTGCCGAGGCTCCTCAAAAGGCGGTGACTGTCGCATTGCAACGAATATCAGCAAGACAAAAGGAAGGACCGCATCAATTGCTTTTCTCTACGCTCAGACTTTCGACACACAGCTGCAATATTCCCCGACATGGGATTATCCCTGGAGACTCAAATCCCGATAGTCGACCGAATCAACATCTCCCACGTCGCCCCTCAACCTTCCTCTCTACGCATACATACACATCTATACCGACAAAGAAGTATGATTGATGGACTATCGCCACGCCATTCTTAATACAACAACAGCCTACCAGCGCCTGCGCTCGGCGCCCAACTCGCCCGATTATGCATGATGGTGACACGAACCCATCTCAACGGGACTCCGAGGTTGTTTGGGCGACAGGCGTGCTTACGCGGTACATGCACGTCATGTTGCACAACCTGAGATACAAGCTACTACATACGCGGGGCTGGGTAACAAGTACCCTATGCCTTGCGCCTCGGTTTCATATTACTGGTTGAGACGCCAATCTGATTGCCGGGTTGCTCAGATTTTTCTCAAGTCATAAGTCATAAGTCACAAGTTGACGATTAGTCTGAAATATGCTGTGTCATGCCCTGGTGGTATGGGACATATCTAAAGCTCATCCAACTTCTCGCAAACATAGCGTGATTTGTACGCGGTGTGACATTCTGAGTCTCCCATGTCATGTACCGCGGATTCAACATCTACGCTCTTATACTTGAGATGCGACCACATTCGTTTCTAGCTCATTTCCTTGCCTATCAGTTTTTTTTTTCTATCAGTTTAGCTACAAGCAGATGTACGAGATACCCAAATATATACTTCCAATTAAATTATCAACAAATTCGGCTCAATCTTCAGTATTAGATCCTTTATTTATACCATCTATATCGGACAGAGCTCAACCCATCTACCGCAGTGTAACAAGCTCCTCGGCACTAGTAGGATGAATAGCAACACAGCTGTCAAAGTCCTTCTTCGTAGCACCCATCTTCACCGCAACGCCAAAGCCCTGCGTCATCTCCCCAACACCCAAACCGAGGAGGTGCAGGCCAACAACCTTCTCCTCAGGCCCCGCAACAACCATCTTGAACTCAGTCGGGTTCTTGGCCTTCTCCTCGGGCGGAAAGACGTGGTAGTACATGGCGGGGAAACGGGTGTGATAGACCTTAACGTTCTCGTCGCCAAACTTCTCGCGGGCTTGCGGCTCGGTGAGGCCGACGGTGCCAACTTCGGGGTGGGAGAAAACGACGGTGGGAATGTTGTCGTAGGAGAGCTTGGCGTTCTTGAATTCGGGCCCGCCGAAGAGACGGTTTCCGAGTTGGCGGCCGGCAGCGATGGCGACTACGGTTATACATCAGTATGAATACGTCTTTAGATGTGGATTGGACAGGTTAAGTGGGAAAGAACGTACCAGGGGTTAGTTCGGCCTGGCCTGTGACGTCGCCGATGGCGTAGATGCCCTCGACGCTGCTGTTCTGGTATTCGTCGACGACGACGTGTCCGTTTTCGTTAAGCTTCACGCCCGGGATCTCAAGGTCTAGGTCCTCGACCTCGGGGACGCGGCCAATGGCCCATAGGAGTTCGTTGACCTCCATCTCTGACCCATCGTTCATGATCAGCTTGAGGAGCTTGTCCTTGCCCTTGCCGTCGCGAAGGAGTTGGACCTCCTTGATACCGGGGTGCTTCTTGTGGACCTTGATGCCGACGGCCTCGTATCGCTCAGTCATGGTCTTCTGGATCATCGGGTCGAATTTGCGCAAGAAGGTCTCGCCACGGATGAACATGTGTGTCTCGACGCCGACCGTACCCATGACACCTGCCAGCTCGACGGCGATGTATCCAGCACCGACAACAGCGATCTTAGGTGGGAGCTCTTCGATCTCGAAGAATCCATCGCTGCTGATACCGTGCTCGGAACCCTTGATGTTCGGCGGCAGGCTAGGCCGGCCACCGGTCGCGATCAGAATGTGCGGCGCAGTATACCGTGTCTTGGTGCCATCCTGGTTGGTGACTTCAATGGTCTTCTTCTCGACGAACCGGGCCCGGCCGTGCACAAGGTCAATGCCTTCATTGCCCCAGTTCTTCTCGTAGATCCCGTTCAACCGCTCAATCGTGGAGTCGCGGATTTTCTTAAAGTGATTGTAGTTGACGTCGACGTGTTCGGGAAGATCGTAACCGTAGTGACGGCCAGCCTCGACTGCTTCGGAAATGGACGCAAAGTTCCATGTCATCTTCTTGGGGACACAGCTAATATAAACATCAATCAGCGATTGCGCCCAATCAACGGAATCAAGCTTTTCCATACCCAACATTGACGCAAGTACCGCCAGCGCGTCCACTTTCCACGATCAATGTCTTCGCCCCGTACCAACCGGCAGCTCTCCGTCCACTACCGCTGCCACCACTTCCACCACCTAACACGATATAGTCATACTGCTTGGTCTCCACCGGAGGCATATTGCTCGACGATGATGCTGGTGAGGTAGATGAGAAGTGTCTTGTGAGTGAGGCGAGACGTGATCCAGTAGAAATAGATGTAGCTGAGAGAGATTGAGAAGCCAGGACACCTCTCTTCAGGTGTATGTTGACAGGAGTGGCAATGCCGTAACCTCCGTATGCTCGGGAAGGTTGAGTGATCGGAGAAGGACGGACGATAGACGAACGGGTGAGCCGAGTCTTCGACGCTTGGGCAGTGAATGACCGAAGTGAGTAACGAGGAAGCATGGAGAGGGATTATGGACGGGCGGCGGAGGGATTAAAGAGGGGGAGGAGGGGGAATCTGCAGGCTGAGAAAAAGTTGGCGGGGAAGCCGGAGGTGCGAGCTTCGGCGGTGGATGACGCTATCATTTACTAGCCGCTCCGAGACAACATTTATTGATACGGAGCAACACACAGACGACCAAGTTCAAGCCAATTCAAGCTTAGTATTTTTCTAATTCTACCAATTGCGTGATATCCCCCTCTTTGCCTCATCCTTACAGAGTATCCGGCCCACGAACGATTCTAGACTAGCATCATTACTCAGCATCACTCATACTGATTGATAAGCAGTTGAAATGTCAAAACCGACGAGGACTGTGATGTAGTGTGGTACAAGCTATGATGATTCATCTAATTATGCTGGAATTGGATGAGAGTACGGTACATGGGAGAATTTCAGTGTACACCGGGTGTTTAGTAGGTAGGACAGACAGTATGTCACTAGGAACAAGGTCGAAGCAAGACCGCGACGTGCAAGTAAGCCCGCGGGTTTCCTTCACTCACATGACGATGAAACGCTGGCCCAAAGCTGACAAGACGGTTTCAAAAAGCCAGACCGTCTGCCTGGGTGGCGCCAGCGCCAGACATCCTCGGAAGTATGCGTCGGGACAGCAAAAGGGGGTATGGCAAAGAAAGAAACAAAGCAAATGTATCGGTCGTGCTATGTGTCTTGGATATAACGAAGAGAAGCGGAAGAAGCGTCGGCTATTCCGGCATGGACGAAGAAAGCGAAAGTCCAGCGATAGAAGGATCATCAAGTAGTGGGCTTCCAGGTACAGCGTCCAGTGCAACTGCGTGCAGCGCTGGCTTATCTGCGTCTTTGGCAGACCCATTTAGACGCTTTTCCAGCCTTTCTTTGACCCAATCCGCAACTTCTTGGTCATCAGTAACCGGCGGAGTACTTTCGCCAGACGCCCCATCTGCGAGAGACATGGATGGTACATCAGTGTTCGTCGATTCGGTGGGAGGTTGCATAAGAGAAGAGAGCCAAGGATGCCGGAGAAGCATGTTGTAGGACGGGCGTTTCTGGGGATTCTTATCAAGACAAGCCTTGACAAATGAATGTGCGTCTTCAGAATACTCGGATTCTGGAAGGCCAGGAGCTTCACCATGTACAATGGCCTAAGTATAGTGTTAGTGTATAATAGGATAAACGATAACGGGATACCGACATGTAGCTGGCTGAAAATGTTATTAAATGTTTCAGGCGGGTACGGATACCGGCCGATAGCACATTCGATGATGGACAATCCCAAACTCCAAATGTCACTCTGGACACTGTAGGTTCCGCCGCTGGCCCCCGACTGCTGCACTCCACCTCCCGCGATGCGCTCAGGTGCCATATAGCTTTGGCAACCGATATTCGTCTTTGCGATACTGGCAACAAGGTTTCCGCTTACTCCAAAGTCACAGATTTTGACCTGTCCTCGTGTATTGACCAGGATGTTTGTAGGTTTCACGTCTCTGTGGATGATATTATGATCATCTTTGAGAGACTTCAAACCCATGACAGTAGAGAGCGCGACTTTGCGAAGGATATTCTCGGGGATACCGTCGCCGTAGAGCTTGTCAATGGAGCCGCCATCCATAAATTCGACGCAAATGTATACAGCACCTTCCTGGAAAAAGGCGCCGTAGAAGTCAATAATGAACGGGGAAACGCATCGATGAAGGATATCCAACTCCATGATGATTTGCGCAAACTTGCTTTCGTCCAACTCCAACCGAATCTCCTTCATGGCCATGATCGCGCCAGACAGAGTATCTTTTGACGTTTCTGAATCGTCGGCTCCAGGAGGCCGGCTGACAATCCCACCCAAGCCTTGTCCGGGTTTGCGCATATGCGGACGGCTATGCCGTACCTTGTATACGGTCCCATAATTCCCCTTGCCCAATTCGTCCATACGATCCACTTCATCTAAGGAGATGTTGAAACTCTGGCCGGACGAGAACTCGATGCCGCCTCCGTGAAGAACGGCCTTGTTCTTGAATTTCAGGGTACCCGACTTCGTGTCAATGTACTCTGAATACTTGCTAAAAGCCGACTCTCCGCCTCCAACCGGTCCATTGGCGGGTGACTGGCTTCCAGCTGCTGGACCACTCGGCCCAGTGGCATCTGAAAGTTTGAGTCCCGGCTTCATGCGTTTCGCCGCCAGACCGCCCTTAGGAGAGCCGGCTACGGGAGAACCGCCACCGACAGTAGGGGCAGAAGCCCAATTCTTCGGAGGACCTGGACGGTGAATCGGAGGAAGCCGACCTGGAACAGCGGGTGCTAACGGACCGTTCATTGGTGAAGGTGTACTGTTACCCGATAATGGCCCAGACTGCGTCGGTGTGTTCGGTTGAGAGCCCTTTGGAATCGCTCCTGTCGAGATGGACTGGTTAAAACCGGGAGGAGGTACCCCCTGTCTTGAGAGTTGAAACGCCTTCATCTTTGCCAGAATGTCCTGGTTCGCACTACCTATAGACGCTTGCGGCCGGAGATTTGGCCCGCCGCCGTGTCGTGCCGCATTGACCTGGCCAAGATGTGTGGAAGAAGGGGTAATTCCGGACGCATTATCGGAGGTCGGGCGTAGGACCGGTATAGTTTTGGTGACGGGCGGGGAAACTTCATCGTCTGGGGTGATAGGGGCAGAGTCGCCGCCGTCAGATTGAGGAGAAACCGGAGGGTTCTCCGCGGCGAAGTCGTGTTCAGCGCTCATGGTCGCGAGATCGCAATGCTAGAAGATCAAAGGAGAGCAGGAGGCGTCAAAGCCGGAGCGCGTTCTCCAGGACCTTTGGGTCGTCTCACGGCACTCAGCGGCTTGGGAACATGAAGTGGAAACTGGAGGAAAGGCGAGATGGCTCGGTCGGAGAGCAACGCTGACGAAAACAAGGAAGTTGGCGGGTTGGTAGACGGAACTGATTTAAAGGAGGAAGATGCGTTTGCCAGGTAAAAACGAAATGTTCACGGCGCCTCAACGAGGGGCAGAACCTTGGGTCTTCTCGGTTCAGAAACGAAGCTCAATGCCGAACATACAGTGTTTTCTCCAATTAGGATGATCTTTAGATTTCCAGCACAAGAGTGGTAGTCCACCCAAGAGTTGGGCTGTTCTTTTCTTTTTCTTCCAAGTTTCCTGGTAGTTGTACTAGTTGCAGTTTCCAGGTTTGTTGGGCTGTGGGGGACGGCGGGGAATTAGGATCAGAGACGGTTTGACACGCCAGCCGGCTTTTATGGATGCCAGGGCAATATCAATATCGATAGATATATTAATCTCGCACAGAACTCGATATTCTTCCAGTTATCGGAATGTGGTCTGTGTTGCGGCAGCTTACACCAGCCAATCAACAGCTTCGCCACCGCGCGTCTCAGCTTCTCTAACGGCCGGCTTTTCGATCGTCAATCGTCAATCCTCCACGAGAGCTTGCATCATCCCGTCACACTGGGACCCATGATCTCACCTCCTCCTACCCAAGGTCGCCCAGCAGGAAGCGTGCAATCACACTGAGTTCATCTTAAATGCGGCCCAAGTGGCCTGCCTTCCGAGTCTGCGCCAGATAAACGATAGCGGCGCAAACAATAGTAATGCCGGCATTACGTCTTATACCAGACGCAAATTATTGGGCGTCAACCAACTGACCTTTGAGTTTTGACGAAAGATAAGCCTTGCTTAATACTACTATCCCGGTCCTGGATATATTCTTGATGCCTGATGGCCGTCATTGATCGTGGAGTCGGGTGTGCACCCACACTGTGGCGAAAGCAGACGATATGTCAAGCCACAGTCTTCATCGGCTGCTTTCCATCCAGCCCTCCATTGCTCGACGTCGATGAGCCCAACCTAAGCCACAACGGGCCGATCTTGTTATCGGGCACAGTGCCACAGAGCATCCTATACAAGCCCCGGATTTACGGAGTACTACAAATATACGGAGTACTCCGACTAGTGACGACTACTCTGTATCTTCTCTGCATTTATTGTGCTTGGCTACTTTAAGAGGCTCACACATAGCATAGGTAAAACGCATCCGCTTTCGAATGTGTCGATCTCTAGCTCTGAGGAGTGTACTATCTCAGGTATACGTATTAATATATCTTTGCTCGCCCTCGGTAGATGTGAATTATTATTGCGCCCAAGCAGCAGTGATGCTGGAAATATCTCCGATGCCAGACAAATGTGATTTGCGTTGAGTTTTTTCTGCTTACTGGAGTGCATGCTCTTTGTCTTCCACGGTTTTGTTTATCAATACCCTTGCATGTTTCCGAAGTGGCTGTGCTGCAGACCGTTATAGTACGGAGCACTCCCCGGCTCGATTGACTCTGATGCTTGTTGATCATGACATATTCAAAGTCAGGACCGCGTGGACCACTGGACAATCAGTGCTCCTACGGAATAGTGCGCCCGCCGGCGGCCGGGGATACAGATCGACAATTAGTAGTGGCGAGGGTTTGCTACAAAGTACCAGTCAGGCGCGTGCTTTTCCTACAGGGTAGGATGATAAATTGTTAACTCAGATTCTATACAAGACGTTTGATATTGCCCGGGATGTCCCTGATACGCTCCTACACCTCCTCCATTCTAGGTTTAATCGGACAGGTACACCAACAGGAGTATTTCTATCCTGTCCGGGGATCCCAGATTATTCAAAATATACTCCGCTATACAAAGTATGCTCTGAGATTGCGCTCCAGGTGTCAAGTCTTGCTATGACGTTGTTGCCAAGAGCACTGCCGTCACATTTTTGTCTGGCAATCTATACAGCTATTCTGTGCTACACCAGTGCCCAATTGGCGGTTGAACCATCGTATGCTCCAACAAATATAAACATTCCAACTTTGTAGACACCATAATCTGAAACCGAACAGACAGGCATCAAGAACCATAGAGGTGGAAGTTGTATCTGTGGAGGAACGCCGGAACTCTTGGGCCTCTTGGCGTGCAACAGGCAGATCGCTCGTCCTATCAGCGGCTCCAGACCGAGCATGAAATCATGGCAGACCGGGCCAGGCATCGCCAGAGCGGCCCTGGCAGCCAGCTGGTGAACTCATCATCATTCTGACAGTTCAGGAGAAATTGTTCTTCTTCCTTTCCACGATGCTATCTTGAAGTTTCAGTTTCCGTCAGATCCTTTCGTCGAGAAACTCTAAAGTTATCCATCTCTTTGAGCGCATTTCATTGCCGCCTCCGTAGGTTCCACTTTCCTTCTAGCCTTATCGCCGTACTATTTTGTCCCATCGTTTTCATCCGTCGCCATTAATTGCTCTTTCATTTTTCCCGCTGACACCTAGGTCTCTCTTAGGGACAAGCCAGCATATCTTTCTATCCGCCGTCGATGGCCCTTTCCTCGTTGCCTCGATCTTTTCAGAATGCCCAGTCGTTGACCTCGCGTCAGTTCATGACGCAACAGATGGGCGTCAACCCGGGCATACTGCAAGATGTCTCCAGCCCCCATTCGAGCCATCCTTCTTTCCTGCACCTAGTGCTCCTCGTCTTTGAAGCTGTGCTTGAGGTTGTTTGCGTCAGCCTTCCTGGGTATATTGCTGCGAGAGTGGGCATGTTCGATGCAGACGCTCAGAAATTTGTTGCCAATCTCAATGTCGCTCTGTTTACTCCATGTCTGAGTACGTGCTATATCCATTGCATACACGAGTCTAATCTAACATTGTGTTATGTGAACAGTATTTACGAAGCTTGGTTCCCAGCTGACAGCGGAGAAACTCACCGATCTCGCCATCATACCTCTCATTTTCGTTGTTCAAACCGCTGTTTCATACTCCTGCGCATACGTTGTTTCGCGATGCTTTCGATTCAAGAAAAGAGCGTCGAACTTCGTTGCGGCTATGGCTGTGAGTTGCGCTGTGGAATATGCATGTTGTAAATGTCTAATGGATCTCGCATACAGGTCTTTGGGAACTCAAACTCGCTCCCTATCTCGCTTGTTATCTCTCTTTCGCAGACGCTGAATGGCCTCCATTGGGATCGTATCCCTAACGATAATGACGACGAAGTTGCAGCGCGCGGTATCCTTTACCTGCTCATCTTCCAGCAGCTCGGCCAGCTCGTGCGCTGGAGCTGGGGATACCGTGTGCTCTTGGCACCAAAGGAGCGATATATTGAGGAAGCAGAAAGAGATGACGGGGAGACGACAGTCGCACAAGACCAGGAACGATACACCGACAACCCCGAGCAAGTGGACCCGGACGAGCCCTTGATAAGGACAAGGGACTCCTCCGATGGCTCAATCGAGTATCCAACCGGCTCCCACGATGGTTCCGATGACTTTCACTCCGGGGAAGCGACCCCAGTAAACACTCGCACTTACTCCTCGTATACGAAGTTGCCGCATCCTGAGAATGATCAAGCTCAAAATCAGTCGCCGATACTGGGACCGCCGCCCAGTGGCCCATTTCTCCCTCACCAAGACTCTCGTGGCGACATCTTGTATTTTCCAAGCGTGGAAGTCAACCCTCAAGACAGTGCCCTAGAGCAAGGGGGCTTGTCGCGGGTCAAAACTTCTATGGGTCGTGTCAGGGTCCGGATCGCTAATGGCTGGGCGCGTGGGACGAGTGCATTATACAATCGGATTCCACCAAGTATCCAGAAGACGCTATCGAATTGCTCGAACGTCATTAGCAGATTCGTACGCGGCGTGTGGGATTTTATGAATCCTCCACTTTGGGCAATGTTGGTTGCGATCATAGTTGCTTCTGTGCCCTCACTCCAGCGACTGTTTTTCGATGACGGCACTTTCGTTCGGAACTCTGTGACTCGCGCAATCAACCAAAACGGGCAGGTCGCTGTACCCTTGATCCTTGTTGTTCTTGGGGCGAATCTGGAACGCAATACGATCCCTCGGGAAGCACTTGAGGATATGGAGGATGCTGGCACGGAGAAGAAGCTGATTATCGCTTCGTTATTGGCCCGTATGCTTCTACCGACAATCATTATGGCACCGCTTCTCGCCCTGCTCGCCAAATATGTCCCAGTCAGCATTGTTGACGATCCGATCTTTATTATTGTCTGCTTCCTGCTCACTGGAGCTCCCTCGGCTCTACAGTTGGCGCAGATATGCCAAATCAATAATACTTATGTCGGCGCCATGTCGAAACTGTTGTTCCAGAGCTACGTGGTTTGGTAAGTACCCTTAACCTTTGATAGGAACATGCGATTGACGAATGTAGGATTCTCCCATCAACACTTATTCTTGTGATGTGCGCTCTGGAAGTTGTTGAATGGGCTGCCTGAAGCGCTCCGCTTGGGATGCTTTTACCAAGTGTATTGTTAGGCTGGCGTATTATTCTTATTGGCTGGAGTACAGCGGCGTTTCAAACCATGGTTTGATTATGGGATGAGAGGGTTCTTTTGCGGGATGGGTGATTTGTAGATTCTGATCCATACTGTTGTATTGAGATCAATTTTTCCCATGAATAACGAAGATATAAGCCGACAGTATTAGACTGGACTCCTCTAGTAAAGCCGAGTACGCTTCATTAAACACAGGGTCCCTGGAGCAATAATGCCTCAGGCTGTAATCACGCCATCAGCTTCCCCTCTTCTTGTGACATTTTCCCCAGACTCCAGCCTAACTTCAAAGTTCAAACTCCTTGGCCTCATTGAAGCCTCATCCAGATGCAGTTTGCTGGCTCAGTTTGCCACTTAGCCGAAGCATGAAACACAAAAGTGCTTATCCCGCGCGACCATGCTCAGCACTCTATTTCATAATGACCAAACGCGGAAGTTCGATCGTGATAGAATTGCGGGGAAGGATGAGGACAGTGTCTCGATCTGCAGTATCCCCAACTTAATCTCTCGGAGACGTTATTCTAAGCTTAAAGTAGCTCCGTCTAATGAAATGTCTGATGATCGCCTATGCAACCATCGTGGGTCGTGATCCTACAAGAATATGGTCCCCGCAGTGATGTCTACGGAGTATTCATAGACCCCAACATCACGGTAAGACGGACGGAGGCTATCAAACCAGCCCAGCAATTCCAAAGAAGCGGTTGGATTGCCTAGTGATGTCGCGTGACTATGAGCAGCTGGGCGATAAATCACTGCAGATCGCTAAGGCTTAGGCTGCTGTCTCCTCGTTCCCATGCGCCAGGAGAATCAACGCCACAGGATCATGGATGCGAGATGACGCTGCTTATCGCGATCACATGCGAAAGCAGCCAAACACAGAAGCGAACTAGGATATCAAGTTTTCGCACCTGCATTTTGTGGCTGCAATAATTATGGGAGGAGCATGAAGTCAAAGCTGTCGAGTCCGCTGATAAACCCGAGAGAAGCGCCTGCCACCCGCTTGATATTCCAAAGATCTCAAAACCAACTGACAATTTCTCTATATTTATCACTATCGAAACTCCTGGGTATATCCATACTCCTATCAATATTCAACGGGAACTATCAGTCCGAGCCCGCTTCTCTTCGAGATCCACACCGACTGCTGCTTTCTAAATCCCACACTTCTTTTGGCCCGCTATCGTGCCCCCCACCCGGGTCCCCCGTCTTTGCGCCCTTCTTCCCTTTTCTTTCCTCTTCTCAACTGTTGATATACGCTGTCCTCAGGACCTCAATCTTCGGCCTCTCGCACTTTCTCGCTTCGAAAGATACTGAGCGAACCTACTTGAAGGGTTTTCATGCTCCTCGAGTCGTCACCAATACGGTAGCCCTCGCAACAGTCATAACGTGACCGACCTGAGCCCCCCGGACAAGAGCCTCCCCTGAACTGGACTATCTTATCTTTTGTTCTGGATTCCTTGGAGATGCCTTCCTTCACTGATCATGAGCTTGAAGGTAGGTGTCCGCCGTCGTGCCTGAAATTTTGTTTGTTTTCTTGGCTCTGCCAATAGTAGTCGTAGTAACCTCCGAGGCTCTTGCGCTGGTAGTCTTATGATCTCATCACCCACTTTTCTCGGACACCAAAACCCCTACGCATCTTCTGGATTTATTTTGTTTCTTCTGGCCGCTCAATGGCAAATTTTGAATATATTCATGGATTCTGACAAGTCATCCAAAGGCCCCTACTCAGGTTTCGAGACTAGTCTGCCCTCCCCCGCTCAAAACCCCCGTCAAGATCCTGCAACAAACCCCGAAGGAAATGTCACCAGACAACGTCGCGTTTCTGTCACTAAGGTCACGACTCGCCAGCATTTCTGCCATCAATCTTCCCCGAGCACCTTGAATCACCAGACGCCCAATGTGAACGAACCGGTGACAAGAGAAGATATCGAGCGATGGCTGAAACAGGGCGAGGAGGAATCGCGACATAACCTCTTCAGTCAGGTGTACGAATGGCTCTCGCGCGAAAAGTCCAAACGCAAGAATATTAGGAAGTCCAATGGCTCGACAAACGGCTCAGGGAATGGTGTTGACAACGAAGGAGACGCACATGGCGATGGTGCTCATTTGACGAAGACTGTTTCGCAAGGCTCCGATACCACCCTAGCCCTAGATGGACTAGAAAAGATTCTCCTACAATATGCTTCTCGATATGATAACCGCGCTACATCAACTTGCTCCTCACGTCGATCCGCACGCCGGCGCCATGCTTTGAAGGGTCTGCGGAGAGGCTCCGCTTCCGAGTCCGATCATGAACTCGACCCAGTCACCCCTGGCGTGGATGCTGTTTTGGACAACTCAAGAACGTTATCTTATACTGGTGGTGGCGTGGAAAGTGAGGATGGCGATACTGCAAGCATCAAGCGAGCCAAAGATCGAGAGGCCTGGATTGTCTTCAAGAGCGAACTTCTCCGCTTGACTCATACGCTGCAATTGAAGGGCTGGCGAAAGATCCCGATGGAGTTGGCGGCTGAAATTGATGTGGTTCGACTGAGCGGTGCTTTAACGAACGCTGTATACAAAGTCACACCTCCCCAGAACATTCCTCCACCCAGAGCCGAAGACGGATCGTATACATTGGTGCCTAGGAGGCCTCCTCCGTAAGTTCTCAACACCTCATACATGCCAGGGTCTCCTCTAAACTACCTACAGGAAGCTCTTGCTACGTATCTATGGCCCGCAGGTGGATCACCTCATCGATCGAGAGAAGGAACTTCAAATTCTTCGACGACTGGGACGGAAGAATATTGGCCCCAAAGTACTCGGGACGTTCATTAACGGTCGGTTCGAGGAGTATTTTGAGGCTCGCCCCCTCACGCCGAAGGAGCTCCGGGATCCGTCGACGATGAAGCAGATTGCGAAACGCATGCGCGAGTTGCACGATGGGATTGACCTGCTAGACGACGAGAGAGAAGGTGGTCCGATGGTCTTCCACAACTGGGACAAGTGGGTTGATCGTTGTCAGCAGGTGATCAGCTGGGTAGATACAGAAATCCACTCCCCTCAGAACGAGAGCAAAGCTGCGTCTGAGCCCTGGCGTCGACGTGGATATGTCTGCGGTGTTCCTTGGCCCAAGTTTCGCAAGGCAGTCGAAGACTACCGTAAGTGGTTGGTTGTGAATAGCGGTGGCATACATGAGATCAAACGGCAGCTAGTGTTTGGCCATAACGACGTAGGTCACAAACGAGCTGCAGTTCGTCATCCGTTGCTAACCAGTCGATTGTAGACACAATACGGTAACTTGTTGCGCATGGAGCCTAGCCAGCAGTCCCCCCTTCTCCTCCCGCAGAACGAGCACAAGCAACTGGTCGTCATCGACTTTGAATATGCCTCAGCGAACACGCCCGGTCTGGAATTTGCGAACCACTTTGTGAGTGCGACAAGTTTACTTTTGGGGCCTAACTGACATTTCGCAGACCGAATGGTGCTACAACTACCACGACACCGAGAAACCCTGGGCATGCAGCTCCCTGTTCTACCCAACACCAGAGCAACAACATCAATTCATCACCGCGTACCTAACCCACAGACCAGGGTTGGGCGGCCGCGCCTCCCCATCTATCACACCGATCATGCGTCCCCTTTCCGCAAGCACCCCCACCATGACACCACTCGACCTCAACGCAACCAGCCCCGACCTGGTCCCTCAGCGCCCGCTGGATAGTATCGAGCGCAGTACATACCAGGACACTCTAGAAGCAGAGACTCAGTTCCTCATCCGCCAGACACGACTCTGGCGCGTCCTCAATTCAGCTCAGTGGGTGGCTTGGGGTATTGTTCAGGCTAAGGTGCCGGGGATGGAGAACGACGTAGACTCGACCGCAGCGCCACCGGTAGACAGCGAGGTTGACGATTCAGACGAATTCGATTATCTGGCCTACGCGCAGGACCGGGCGTTCTTCTTCTGGGCAGATCTTGTGGCTTTGGGATTTGTCCAAAAGGAGCAGCTTCCAGGGCCCTTGGCCGAGGCTATTGAGACGAGGCTACTGGACTATTGATTGCTTGGTTGACGAGTACATGATCAATTGTACATTTTGACCTTATCCTAGAGATGGCATGGCGTTCGTTTCTCTCCCTGTTACCTCTTTTCTCGCATGCTCGTTCGGTCGTTCATTCATGACTATCATTATGCTGCGATACCAGACATGCAATGCTATGATTAATGAATCATGAAATCATGTACCTACTCGTGAAGATGGAAATTTACAAGATCTAGATAACGGAGTAGTGCTATTTGTATTGCTTTACCATACATAATAGTACATACAAGTGAACGGTGCCTCCTGCAGGGTAGGAAGAGTGTGTTCATCGCGAAGGAGAAAAACAGCTCACTGTTCCTGCTCAGGTTACAACAGGTTGAGACAGGAATACATCTACCCTGACACACCTTTTGTCAGGCGTATCTGCCTAGGAGACCATCCCCAAGCCTGCAAGGTGATGACAGAGTCCTCAGTCCACTGACTAGACTGTGGACCCGAAAAAGCAAATGCAACCCCGTCACGCCGTCAAACATCCTGTAGCCTTCATTCCTTCCCGTCCTTGCAGCACTTGATTGCCCGTTCTATATTTGGCCCTTGGGTCTTGCTTGCTATTTCGAAAGACGGAGATGTGCCTTGATGATTCGGTGATGCCAAAGGTGAAGTCCCTATGAAGCCCCGCCCGAGCACCTGAGCGTCATGGTTCCCTAGTCTGAAGAGCCTCGTATACTTCAGGTCTAATGCAGATTAGCCCGAGGTGGCCCGTCCGCTGGAACTACAACGTGGGCTGCCGGGCAAGGAATCTGCCGTGGCTTACTGGTCCCTGGCCCGTAAGCCCTGGCCAGCTCGCTTTTCTCCGAGACTATTAGACCAGTATAGATCGTAGACTAAACAACCTAGCTAAAGTGCCGTCTGAGCGACTCACAGTGCCATTGTAGAAGAGCCAAGAAGATTGGGATTCTCGCAGAATCAACCCGCTTTGGATCTGAGGGGTATTGCGGATGTAGCGTCGATGGGCTGTGCAGGATGAGGAAACTAACGCGGCCACGGATGTTTTCTTGCCGCAAGGATCAAGTCGGTTGGTTAGAGTTGAGGTCTTAGGTCCGATTTCATTGATTGACTGGGCGGGGTACCTCGCTCGAGCTTCGGAGGCTCTATTTTTGTCTCACTTTTGTATGGACGTCGTTGATTTGATATCTAGCTGGACCGAACTGCTCCGTACACTTCCTGGCGTGCATAATCAAGATTCGCCTGTTTTGATAGGACGGCCATGGTCTATAGCATGGATACCTGGACAGGAGATGCTTGATTATGTGCACCCCACATGGTGTATAGCGCGGTTGATGCATGGGGAAATTGCAGGTGGAGTGCATTGTAGCGGTGTCGAGTAGGCACGACAAAATACTAGGTTGATGCAGTCTACCGGTACCGCTTCTCGAATTGGGTTCAGGGTCGGCACCTTGAGAACAACAACAGAACTGAGAATACAAGACGTATGGTGATAGGTTCTTGATGCCATTTAAGCTCGCTTTGGCTTCATGCCGCGGGGTCGGAGATATATGATGAGGGTCAACAGGGACTGCAGTAGCTCTAGCTCATCGCCTGCCGCCCCGGCAGCATTTAGTATTCTTGGTGGGCCAGGAAACGGCTCACCGACGAAGATGAGTCTTGCCAGATTATTGTTATTGAGCCACAAGCAGTGAGGAAGAAGAGGCCCACTCCAGCTTGCTCAAGCGATCTTGATCTTATTCAGGACGACCCCTCCCAGGACACGGCAGAGCGAATCATAGCCAGAAGAGCGTGGTATTCTTAGAAGCGAGCTAGTTTTGGGTGCTGACATGGCCATCCTGGTCGCAAGAACGGGTCCGGTAAAGAAAGATTTATGATATGCGGGAGTGGAATCCTTAGCAAGTCCTTGATTGGACGGAGAAAGACTGCGAATGGGTCAAGAATAGTAACGATCGAGAATTGGACATTGTTAGCCTGTGAGTCCGTGACAACGGTATACTCCGGGTTGGTCCCTTACAGATGACTGCACATTCCAAGCCGAAAGCCGCGTGGTGACAAGCTTGAAGCAGCTGATGTAGGCAGCAGCTAACGGCTGCTCTCCTGGCGAGATTATGCAAGTGGCTGACGGTCGAGACTGAAGAAAAGGCGCCTATCAATCAAAAAGGCAGAATCCGTGCCCTGCCAGCAATTCTGAGCATTGAACAGCATTCCGCTGGAGTGAGAGAATAGAGTTGCAACCGCCAAAAACGAGAGACCCTAGCAAGCGGTGATCAACAGCAGACTAACTGGAATAGGCGCCATCTCGCGAGATGGAAACTAATTCCTTGACGGCGGCTGCTAGGGGCTAAGGGGCGTGGCAGCCTTGCAATAATGCGGGTGTTCGTATACTGCCGATAAATTTAGCGTTAAAACAATTTTTGCGGGCGCACGTGCCCGTGTAATTAAGCTATTTTAGTTTATATAATAAATAATATACAAAACTAAACGCTGGCCTTCCGGGCGCACTTACTTTAAAATTGCTAAGTTATGCGTTAAGGTACGGGTATATTAATTTATATAAGGTCTTTTATACAAATTAATATACCTGTACCTTATTGGTAAATTTAATAAAAAAGACCTTTAAAAACTTGTTTTAAAGTTATTTTAAGGCGCTTTAAACGCGTTTTTTAACTAAAGATTAGTGTTAAACTTGCAGTAAAGGTGCTAAAAGGCCTCTAACATGCTAGTACTTAAATTTTTATAGGGATTTGTATATAAATTAAAGTACCTATATTTATAAAGCTATTTAAAGGTGTATCCGCGCGGTGTTTAGCTAAAAACAAGGTAGTTAACACGCTGGCAAGGCTGTTAACACGCTGGTACCTGGTTTTTTATAAAGAATAGTATATAAATTAAAGTACTTATATTTATAAAGCTATTTAAAGGTCTATCCGCGTGGTGTTTAGCTAAAAACAAGGCTATTAACATGCTGGCAAGGCTATTAGCGCGTTAGTAAGGCTGTTAACATGCTAGTACTTAAATTCCTATAGGGAATTATATATAAATTAAAGTACCTATATTTATAAAGCTTTTTAGTCTATCCACAAGGTATTAAACTAAAAATAAGGCTATTAACATGCTAGCAAGGCTATTAACATGCTAGTACCTAGTTTTTTATAAAGAATTATATATAAATTAAAGTACCTGTATTTATAAAGCTATTTAAAGGTTTATCCACGTGGTATTTAACTAAAAATAAGGCTATTAACACGCTAGCAAGGCTATTAGCGTGTTAGTAAGGCTGTTAACATGCTAGTACTTAAATTCCTATAGGGAATTATATATAAATTAAAGTACTTATATTCGTAAAGCTTTTTAGTCTATCCGCGAGGTGTTAGGCTAAAAATAAGGCTATTAACATGCTGGCAAGGCTATTAACACGCTGGTACCTAGTTTTTTATAAAGAATTATATACAAATTAAAGTACCTATATTTATAAAGCTATTTAAAGGTCTATCCACGTGGTGTTTAGCTAGGAATAAGGCTATTAACACGCTAGTAAGGCTATTAGCGTGTTAGTAAGGCTATTAACATGCTAGTACTTAAATTTTTATAAGGAATTATATATAAATTAAAGTACTTATATTTATAAAGCTTTTTAGTTTATTTATAAGGTGTTAGGCTAAAATAAAAATAAGGCTATTAACGCGCTGGCAAGGCTGTTAACACGCTAATACCTGGTTTTTTATAAAGAATTATATATAAATTAAAGTACCTATATTTATAAAGCTATTTAAAGGTTTATCCGCGTGGTATTTAGCTAAAAACAAGGTTATTAACGCGCTGGCAAGGCTATTAACATGCTGGCAAGGTTATTAACACGCTGGTACTTGGTTTTCTATAAAGAATTGCATACAAATTAAAGTACCTGTATTTGTGAAGCTATTTAGAGGTCTATTAGTATAAAATTTGGCTTGGTAGGTGGAGGGCTTACCTGGTTAGGGTGTGTAAAAGAATATGTGCCTGGTTTTATTATAGCTTTTATTTATATAGGGATTTTTATATAAAGTATAGCTTTATTTAAACAAAGCGCGCGAACCTTACATGCTACTTTTATAATTATACTCCTAACTTTACAAGCTTGTAGCGCCATAAAATTATAATAAAAATTAAAATAAAGTAGAAATACTAAAAAAGCGCCTTTAAGTTAGTTTATATAAGTTTTTTTAATATTTAAATTTATGGAGTTCTAAAGTTATTCAGTGTTTTAGTAAATAGTTAATATCTAATAATAAGATATATATTTAAATATGGTGTAGTTAACTCCTAAACTTTAGTAAATTTATTAAAGTCTAAATTCTGCCAAATTACTATAAATACTCTTTTTTAATTGGCCGCGCCTGATTTACCGCCCGTTGTAACTTAGTAATTTTTACTATTTTACCTTGCAAAACTTAATTTATTATATAATATATTAATTTTTATATAATATACCATATAATATAATATACCTGCACAACCTTTACACTTTTTTACTTTGCTACCTTATTACTGCGCGGCGCACGCGGCAAATATTATTTAAAAAGGTGTTTATTCTAAAATGTATGGGATGTATTATATAATATTAAATAAATTAATTACTTACAAATGGTGGCCTTGGCATTTTGAACAACGCTAAATTTATCGGCAGTATACGAACTTCCCAATAATGCCGCGATCTGCTTACAGCCAATCAGGCCACGTGCATGCTGATTGGCCCGAGCGGTCGAGCTTCTCCGCGGCCCTGAACAGGCTTAGCGTGTACTCTGGACTTGGTGTTGAGAACTGGAGATTTGAGAACTTGAGGGTCTTCGACAAGTTGACAGGAAGACGTGTGATATCCTGCAACCTATTCCACGTTGACACTTTGTGGCTGCTCGTCGGTTTGAAACCGGGTCTAGTAATTGCCGTTTCGTGGAACACTGTCGGAGCTGAGTGAGGACAACCTATATGGGTGCTATAATGGGGCAGCAGGGTCACATGGCAGGGGCTTCTTTGTTCCACTCCTGCGCAATTCCCGTCTTCCCACGATTAGGCATCTCCCTTGGCCTCCATCATCCATCTCTTCCTCGAAAGCTGACCCCCGGAAAACGTGGCAGAAGTTCTGCTGTGAAACTCATGCATGGCCATCCCTGCAGCCGTCTTCCTCTTGTGGCCTTGCCGAATTAAAGGTCTTCAGCGAGCTCACGCATGATGATGCCTCGACCCCCCCGAGTGATCACCGAGTCCTGTCTTTCTGACAGCCAAGCCAAGCCAGCTAATTGTGCCGATAAGCCCACTGCTAACCACACCAAGCAACTTGCAAGGTTTCATCTTGAGATGCCTGATCATCTTAAGTTCTTAACCAACATGATGAACGGCCCGTATCCCTGGATAGGCCTGTTCGTCCAGAAAGTGGAACCTGGTTACCTGAACAATGATAGACATGATCGCGGTCAATGCACCCTATCGACAGGCGCGCCGAATCTGATGACGATCGGCTCAGTGTCATCCTCACCACTCTGTATCTCATCTCATCCAGCTCACCGTGGCTTCCTTCATCGAAATGGTTTCCCTTTTGTTCAACCTGCCTTCCGGCCGAACACACCTGCACCGATCTGCTGGGGTCATTTCCTTTGCTCTTTCCTTTCCGCCCCCAAATCGACCTGTCGATAAGTACCTATGCCAAGGAGCCTTGACATGAGCTTCCTAATCTGATCATAATTAGCGAAGCTGACATGGACCGGGATTTTGATGATGTTTCAGAATCTCTTTTCAAATTTCACCAGTCGGTGACTACCGTTTCGCAAGGCAGAAAGTCACCGTCTCAAGATTTGATAGACTGCATACTTGTTTTGTCGTTTTTTCTCTGCGGCTGAACCTTGTAATACCTTGCAGCTAACTCTAAGCGCGCCTGGTCTCTTGACTCTGGTCGTCGCGAAGCACCATGGTTGCTGCGAAACCGTCCACCCTGCATGCATTCGAGACCAATGTCGACCATTCGCGATGTAAGGCTCTTTGTGCCCCGCCTTCTTGGACTTATATTTCAGCCGCAGATGGATTAGAGTGCGAATAATGGCCACTGACACGTTTCCGCCATCTGCTGTCTTGGGCCCTTGGCTGAAGGCTCACTCGGAGTCAAACCCCCTGGCATCGTCATTCCAAACTACATATGACGAGAGGGAAAAATAGCATCCACTAAGCGTCTTAGCGCACGATACCGACCCAATCTTAAGGGTTGTCTAAGCTCAGCTAAACCCGGATGGGACCACGCAATGGCCTGCCAAGTGGAAGCACTGTTTTTATTAGGTACGTGCTTGACACCGATTAGGCCATGGTTTGCCGAGCCTGCATGGCTGTTGTTGAGCACCGTCAATCGCATGCGCAGTTGCACAGATGCAACTTGAGATGCAGGGCGGTTTGATTCGGACCAGTCTTGGGCAGTGTGGACAAATCGGCTCATGCAAATAAAGTTCCAATTCAGGCCTTGATTTGATTTAGGAAGTCCTTCCCAGGTTGCTCCTTTTGGATTGTTGTATTCCAAGGACAGACCAGACTTGTATGCTGGTGAGCGCAATCCCTCCGCAAAAATCGGTAAAGCGGTACCTGTATTGCGCAGCGAAGGGATGCGCAATTTACTTTGAGTCTGAACAGTAATTCAGGGCTTCTTGGCTTTAACGCTTGAGTGGACAGAACAAAAGTCTTCAAGTCCAGGAAGATAACCCTAGTGGGCTTTAGCCTTTAAGGTTGTTTGCCCACAGGGCCATGAAGTGCTCCATGGGAACGCCTTGGCCACGATTATTCCGAGGTCTCTGGTACTTCCGGTAAATTTTCTCGTCCAGAGACATCGGGCCTCGAAGTTCGCGTCTGCCTTGCAAGGCAGCCTTGGACCCTACGATCTTCTGACCTGGACAGGCCGAGACATTGCCCAGGCTATCTGCGCCTTTCAAAGAACAAGACAGCCACATCAGAAGCTTTCTGAATTCTTCCCGCAAGACGATTTGATCTGACCGGAAATCCCTACTCGCTAAACGAGCGATGATTTTGACTGAAACAGGCAAGATCTTGGACTATCGCTAACTATGGTGGGCTTAAATCGCGAACGGGAGGATTGACAGGGTCTAGTTCGCCGTGACGATGAGACTAGGAAGACCCCCCAAATTTGGTAAAATAGACGTCAAACCACCATGCTGACAGGCGTCACACCTCTTTCTCACAACGACCTGGGGTAGAGAACAATGGCGAGGCAGCACCAGATTAACTCGGCAGACACTGCCAGATAGTCAAGTCGTTGACAGCCTCTAGGCTTTCCACATCGGTCTCGAGGAAGCCTAGGAAAACGCCTTGGAGGAGTGCTCAGCCCGCAGCCCGGCGCTGAAATTTGAACCATAGGATGAAAAGACGCCGTTGGGCTTGGTATGGAGGCGCTCTCCACCCAGGCTTGCTCTGTTTCCTTCTTTCCTGAAGATAATGCTTGACTTCTCGCCAGAGTCGCCACTTTCCAGGCTCTGGCACATATCTATCTAGCCATTTCCGCTTGCGTTGAGTAGAGAGAGCTAAAGTTCGGATGATCTGTGGTTGAGGCCACAGAGCCAGACCCTGGGCGGGAAAAGAGGAAAAGATGCCGTCTGATTCATCGCAGGCAACCCATTGGATCAACCACTTGCCGACCCAGAGTCTAACATTGTGACACCTCGCTTGCACCAACTGATGCTTACTTTTGGCACTTTTGGCATTTTTCTCATGGTTTAAAGGGGTTAAACTCAGATCGGGGCTGAACCTCGAGGGACGTCCCACTCTGTTGGGAACGGGATGCGGCAACGTTATGTGAGTCTGACGGATGGGAAATTGCTGCGTCCTGGATAGCCCGGTGGCCTGTGCCATCCAAGGCTCAAGTACGTCCGGAGTATTGAGGATAATAATGGATCTGGGGTCGGGCAAGAAGAGGCTCAACTCGTCTCAACCACGTTCTGCACAGACTGCACTGTATTAGCAGCCATTTACATTCCAGAAAAGTGCAGCCCGATCAGGCTACTCTCGCATTTCTCGGACAGTCGAGTGCTGTGACTGGCGTTCCGTGGCGTGTGTCCAGTTCAGTTGTCCTCCAGAATCCCAGTCCCCAGTTTGCTTTTTCCCTTTCTGTTTTCAGCATCTTGGGATTAATCTCGTTCTATTATTCTGTTATTTTATTTCTCTTCTTGTCTCTTATTTGTGCCCCTCCACTCCATCGCCCCTAGTCGAATACCCTTTCTGTCTGCTATAATTCAGCAGTTCCTTCTTCCACCTTCCCCTTCTCTCTCCTGGTTCCTGTCGTGTCTGCTGCAAATCCTCGCTATAAAAATAACTGCTGGCTGCCGTTTTCTCGTATTCCCACGTGCTTCCCTCGCCAGTTGCTTACCTTGCTTCCTCCACTCTCATCTGCCTGAGCTCTGCGGCTCGGGGTTATTTTTGGACACTGCATTTCCTGACCTCGCTCTCTATCTGTTGCGGAGTCGTGGACCCTTCTTTCCCCAAGTCGAGGGGTCTCAAATAAATAATATCCTCATCTCTCCCCGGCTCTTGTCTGCCTTGGTTAACAACTTCGCTCCTCTCGTCGGCACTCCATCATAGCCTTCACTATTCCGTCTTGGATAGTGCACTTCTATCCCGTCCCTTCCTTCCGACTTCATCCTTCTACAAACTCAAAACATCGAAAATGGCTGGTCCTGGCGGTGGTCCCCCTCGCAAGAGCCACACAAAGTCCCGGTTTGGCTGCAAAACCTGCAAGCGACGCCATATTCGTTGCGATGAGACTTTCCCCCAATGGTATGCTCTCTGAAGGTCAAGACTTGGGCAGTGTGGGCTAACCAGAATAGCCGCAACTGTACCAAGCACAACTGCCGTTGTGACTACATGGACGTTGCTGCTGTGCATGACGAGCCGATCTCTGTCCGGAAAGTCCCCGACCTTCTCATGTCCCCAGAAATCGAGACGGAGATCAAGAATTGGCAACTTACTGGTCTACCACCGTTCCCCGAATTGATGCACTTCCCGCGTAACTGCTGGGGTAAATTGACACGAACGGATCTACGTCTCATTCATCACATCATCGGGCTCTCAATCGATCTCCACCGGCGGGGGCTCAGTAGTTGCACTATTTGGGCCCAGAAGATGCCATTGTAAGTAAAGGACCTTACTGCATCTTGCAGAATATGACTGATAGCATAGCTTCTTGTCCATCGCCATGTCCAATGACTTCGTGATGAGCTCGATTCTAGCCCTATCTGCGACACATCTTGCCTGGATCACTCGGAACCAGGAAACCAAACAGTTGGCCTTTCACCATCGGGGCACCTCCATTCAAGGTCTTCAGAAAGCGATCACCACGTTCTCGAAAGATAACTGTGACGGTATCCTTGCTGCCTCCATATTATTGTCGTGGCAAGATAGCGAATGGCCGAGCTGGTCATCTCTGCAACAAGGGGTGACATCTGTCTTGGATTCAACGCCTCATGCGTGGAGGCAAGAGTCTGAGCTTGCTATGTTCCTGGAGAACCAGCGGTTCCTAGCGAGCGCGAACTCTTCTGTGGTTTCTGGACTTCGTTTTCAGGAAGAGGACCTAGCCAGCCTCGACCACACCATCATCACCCTCCAAACCATTCAAAAGCGAGTCGCACACAACCACGAACATTACCGTCGGCTCGGAGAACTGCTTGATTTTGTGCGGCATTTTCAGCGCGACATCCTCTCCCTGACCGCTGAGCAGGCCTTTGAGCGGGTGCAACCCCTGAAGCAGTGGCTGTTCTTCCTCCCTCCGGCCATGCTGCGCGGAGGTGATGCAGACACCGCTGCGTTGGCCATCCTGGCGCAATTCTTCGGTGTTGGTGTGGCTCTGGACAGCCTGTTTCCCGACCTAGGAGGTGCATACCTAGGGCCGATGTCCGTAGGGCCCATCGAAGAAATCTACCGCATTATCTACACGAGAAATGCGACCACTCCTTATGACTCTGACTTACAGCTTGCCATGTCCATCATGGACCTCCCTCGTCATCTCGCGGCTAAATACCGTGCCCGCCTACAGTGGTCTCCGCGGACGTCTGTCGAATACTACTCCCCGCCGCCCACGAGCCCCTTCCAAACGGTCCAAGATTTTCGTTTAGCAGCGTCGCCTTCGCCTTCATCCGTTTCCGCCTCTTATACTGCATATACCCCACCTCTCCAGTCTCCCCCGGCGGTGACGATTGCGAGCTCTCCCTTTGATGTTTCCGTATCGTATTCAACGGCGCCAGGCTCAGCGAGCCTCTACCCTCCTCCTCAACTTCTTTCCGACACTCGAGAAGAGCCATCTGATTGCAGTCAGCCGGGCTCCCTACAGCACTCCCCTCACTACCCACCCCCCTATCTAGAAGATATGGTGTGCGGACCTGTCTCTCGAATGGCCGGGGGCCTAGCATTGAGCCCTTTGGAGATTTACGATAATCCTCACCCGGTCGTGAATGATTATGGCACCCCCGAGTCTGTTTGGCCGGGAAGCATTTGCACCTAGCTCTTCCTTTCTTTATTCTTCTCTCCCTATTATCCCCCCTACAAAAGAGTTTCAAGTTGAGCTTGAAAATGCATTGGCTTACGGCGATAGAAGGGGTGAGATTGATTTTTCGAGGCGGCATGTTCTTACTCTCATCTTTTTCTCCTTTTCCCTGAAGCAGGGGCAAAACTTTGCCTCCTTGGAAGGTTTGCCATCAACAGGACTAGCCGCAGGTCAACTAAGAACTCCGGAAACCTGGATGGAGAAACATGCGATATACCCAACGCTTATTTATTCTATTTTGGCGTTTCTTGGGCGAGAAATGCGGAAACGATACGACTCTATGTCTGGATACTCCCGAGTGACTCACAAACAATACTTGTCATTCTACTTGGCTGCTTATATAGTCTGGTTGGATTTCATAATCTGAAGCTATACAAGCAGTGGCAATTAACTTTGAAGCAACCGACTCGTGAGTTGTAAATGGAATTTTGACGGACCGATGGCCAGACATCTCTACCATAAACCACGTTCCCATAGTGGTCTGAACGGTCCAAGCCCATCAGCTCTGGAGTGATGAAATCTAAATTAGTATGTTACACGAGACTGCCTCCCGGTAGTCTATAGGACGCTTCTGATTCCCGAGAGAAACTCCCATATGCAGTTCGTGCATTGTAATGACGTGCTCTATTCCCTGGCCGAGCTGCACTGGACTTCGAGGCGGAGCAGATACATCGCCCAGCCTAGGCTCCGATGATGAGTACTTATCATAGCGGACCAGATGAAGTACATCTCGGTATCGAATCAAGAGCAGCAGTGGGTTCTCAAGGCAAGAGGATAGCCCGGAAATGACAACAGTTCAAGATCAGCCACCAACTCCGAGCCCAAGGACTCAGGACGCAGGAGTCAGTGACAGCCCTGGACTTGGAGGACAAGATCTAGATGGGCGGGGGCAGTGGATCTCCATGGTCTAACCGTTCCCGGAGCACTCGTATTCGGCACCTGCCGCCATGCCTGATTTAGAATGTGTCTAGGATGGCATTCTCTAACCTGATCTGGCTAGCTTGTCTACGAGTTAAGCAAACGAGACAAATAAGACAAACAAAGCAAATTACCATCTCCAATGTCATCACATCATCAGTCTGTTTTGTATCTAGCTACATATACAACTCGATCACACTTACAGGAAAATGGCTGACGCAGCGGGCTGGAGCACAATTGAGTCTGATGAGGTGCGCACAAATACCCAGTACAAGCAAATGAGGAGCTATACTGACTAAGGCACTTCTATCCAGGGCGTCTTCACATCTCTAGTCGAGAACCTCGGCGTCAAGGGCGTGCAATTCGAAGAGCTTATTTCTCTTGACCCCGACACAATACTCTCACTGGGGTACACTCACACTCCCTCTTTCATTCCGCAAAGCAAAACTAACATACAACCTACAGAACCGTCTACGGCGTAATCTTCCTCTTCAAATACCTCCGCCAAACACCCACCACATCCACCACATCCTCCGCGGACGGCACCCCAACAGACCCCTCCACCCTCCCACCAACCTTCTTCTTCGCAAACCAAACAATCCAAAACGCATGCGGCACACAGGCGATCCTCTCCGTCCTCCTAAACCACGACACCGCCAGCCCCGAAAACAACAACGAGCCCATCACCCTCGGCCCCGAACTCTCCTCCTTCAAGGACTTCACAACAGGATTCCCCTCCGACCTCCGCGGCGAGGCGCTCTCAAACTCCGAAGTCATCCGCTCAGCGCACAATGCGTTCGCGCGCGCAAGCCCCTTCGTCGACGAGACGAACCGGCCGCAGAACGAAGACGAGGAAGGCGATGTATACCACTTCATTGCGTACACGCCTGTAAACGGGACGTTGTACGAGCTGGACGGGCTGCAGGCGAGTCCGATTTCGCATGGCCCGTGCGATGCGGCGTCCTTCCCGGAGAAGGTGATTGGGGTTTTGCAGAAGCGGATTGCGCGGTATCCGGAGACGGAGACGAGGTTTAACCTTATGGCTGCTGTGCGGGATTTGAGGATCCGGGCGGCGGAGATGGGGGATCAGGAGGCGTTGCGGGCGGAGGAGAGGAAGAGGGCTGCGTGGGCTTGGGAGAATTCGTTGCGCAGGAGTAACTTTGTGGGCTTTATTGGTGAGGTGCTGAAGGGAGTTACTGCGAAGAAGGAAGAGGAGGGGAGCGTTGAAGAGTGGGTGAAGAGGGCGGAGGAGGAGACGGCAAAGAGGTTGAGGCGTTAATTTATCTGCCTTCTCTTGCTGTGGAGTATGGATGACCTGGGTGACAAACGGAAGAGGGCTGTACTATGATACTCAGCAGGGTTCGATTGGGACAGGGAAACTGTACATACAAGTACCCTGTACTCCATTCGACTGGCTACATCTCACTGAAGCCAGCATACAAGTTGATAGACCCAAAGATCAGAACATGGAAAGGTAGCAAGAAGAGGAAGGTAGAAAGAAGAGGAAGAAGTAAACACGATGCTATCCGGAGACGTGCACCAAAAGTTTCCGCACACGCTAGTAAGCTTTGTGTAACTTTCGAATTTTTTTATATATAATTATTATAGAAATAAATTCCAAGCGTACACAGGCTATACTAGAACTAAAGGTGCCCCCCTAAAATTAAAAAATGGCCTAAAATTAAAAAAATAAAGCTATTTAAATGTCAGGGCCGACATTGATCCGGGTCACGCCATCAAGCAATGCCTAAGGCACCCAGGTCATGCCACCGCGAAGTGTTAACGTTACCTGTGCAGGATGCCTTAGGCACTTATTTAGCTTAGCAAACCTTATTATTATAAATTACTATATAAGACTTAATATAATATTAAATTTAATATAATATTAGGTTTAATATAATATTAGCTTTAACTAGGAACCTTAGCTTAGGGATCTTAAATTTTAAATATTATTTAGGTAGTAAAATAAAGGCGTGCCTTGTATTAAATTACCTTAATAATTAAAAAGTAATTATAAAGGGCGTAAATATAAAAATATTTAAATACTACCTACTTTTTAAATAAAAATAACTTAAAAAATTACTTAAAGGCCTTAGGCCTTTAAGCAAGGCCTATATAAAAAGGCTAAAGGCCATGGTATATTTAGTTTTTTAAGTAATTTTTTTAGTTAAATTTATTAAGGTTTTAAATACTTTATTTTTATTAGTTAAAAATACTTTATTAAGCTTTATTATTATTAATAAAAAATATTTAGGTGCTAGGGTGCTTTTATAATTAAAATTATTTTTTTTATTAATTTTTAAATATTATTAATATGGTATTTAAACTAAATCCTTAAATAAATAAAGGCGGACTAAAGCCATTTTAGTTAAGGTTTTTAAAATATAAACTTAGGTATAAAAAAGCTTAAGACTATTATTTTTACTTAAACCTATATTATTAAAATATAATAACACTCTTGTTATTAAGGTTAATAACTTAAACTATAAACTAAATAACTTATCTTTTTTAATAAGTAAGGCTTAAAAAGATTTTTTACTATCTTACCTTTTTAAAAATCTTATATAATATATTAACCTTAAATATATTATAATAAGCATTATTTTAATTAAAAATATTACCTTAGGAACGCCTGTGGCTAGGCTATTTATTATAATATTATAATAAAACATGCTATTAAAACTAAAGCTTAATAAGGGCAAGTAAATAGCTTAATAAATTAAAAAAAATTAGTAACTAAATAGGCCACCTTTACCCGCTAGAAATTTTAAAAAGCTATTTAATTTATTAAGCTTAAATAATAATAATAGTATTATAGGCAAAACACCGCCTGGTTAAAACTAAATATATAAATAACCTTAAATATTTATTAAAAATAAGGTTATTAAAATATTAGCATAGTAATTATTATAAAATAAGCCTAAGTTAAAAAAAATTAAAGCCTTTAAATATTAAGATTTTTAATAGCAAGGACTTAATAAAACTAAAAATATTTTTTAATAATTTTAAAAATATATTTAATAAAGCCCCTGTGTAGTATAGCACTAAAATAAGTAAAGTTATTTATTTAATAAGCAAAGTTAAAAAAAATATATAATACAAGTAGCGTGTAAAGTAAAAAAAGCTTATTAAGCTATTTACATGGGTAATATTTAAATAATTTATGCGCTAATAAGTTAACCTAAAAAAAGATTAAGCTAGTTAAAAAATAAAGTATTTTATAAATAACTAATAAAATAGCTAACTACTAAAGGTATAATTAATAAAATTTTAGGAAATAGTTCCTAACCCCCTCCGGGGCACTACTAAAAAAGCTATTATTTATATTTATATATTAAATAAGCTATATTAGCAGTATATAACACGCCTGTAAAATTCTTTAATTATTTTTAAAGATATTAATATAAAAATAACTTAATATAAGTTAATTTTAGCACGCAAAAAGCAAAAAGCGCCTAAAAATAATAATTAAAAAAAAATAATAAAAACCCTCCTGCTATAAAAAATAAGAATCTAGTAAAAGGTATTAATTAAAGCTAAAATAAAGGTATTTTAATAAATAAAAAAAACTAAAATTTATTAAGGTAGCCCTTAAAAAAGCAAGGTTAAAAAAATTATTATAGCTTTAAAAATAAAACTAGTAGGTAAAAGCTAGTGCAAGCTAAGTATTAGCTCTTGCCTAAAAAATAAGATAAATAAAAAAAAAAAATTATTACTATACGTGCGGCGCGGAAGGGCATTTTATAAAAAATTACCTAACTAAAATAAAAGTAAATAAAAAATTAAAAATTAAATAGTAATTACTAGGCCCTAAGCTATTAACTTTAACTAATATAAATAAACCTATTATATTCCCTATTCTAGTAAATCTGCAAGTTTAAAAAAATAATTTAAATAAATAGTTTAAAGCTTTGCTAAATACTAGGGCTAGTATAAATTTTTTTTTAGTTTAATTTTTAAAAAAGCAAGAAATTAAAATAGCTACGGACTAGATACTATAATTAGTCTAGTATATTAATAAAAAAACTACTTCTTGCTATAGCTAATTTAAGGCTAAAATATAAATTTATAATTTTATTAGCAAGATAAAAATATTTAATATAATATTTTATATTATTAATTTTATTTATAATAAGTACCAAGCCGTGCTCGGACGGCCTTAAATAACTAAAATAAATTTAAATATTTTTTTAATTATTAATTAATAGTGTTAGCGGCATTATACCCCACGCTTTTAAATTAAACTAATAAAAAAATTTATTAAAATAATAAAAAAGGGTCCTGTACTTTTAGTTTTATATAAACTAAAAAAAACTAAAGGTGTACTAGTTATAGTCCTGTCTTTTTAATATATTAAATAAAGTTAGGTTTTTTTTAAAAAAAAAGTGTTTTAACTTCCAAGCAAGAAAGTATATTATAAGATTTTTTTAAAAAAAGGTAAAACGCCTTTTTAAGGGCCTATTTATAACCTTTTTTATTATAAATTATTAACTTTAAAAAAGTATCTTAATAAGATGCTAGCAAGGGGTTAAATATAGCTATTTTAAAGTTTAGTAAAAGCGCTTATTTTTTTTACCTAAAAAGTAAATAAATTTTTGCGTTTATATATTAATTATTAAGGTTTAAATACAATAATTTAAAAAAATTATTATTTATTACCTTATATTAATAAACTTATAAATTAGTTAATAAATACGCGATACTTTATTAAACTTAACCTTTATAATATGTATTACTATATTTATATTAAGTAAAAAAATAAGTAAAAAATAATATTTTAGACCTAGTACAGCCACTATAAATATATAATTATATTATTTAGTTTTACTAATACACCCGTGATATTTTAGTCCTATATTAATATAGTAATAAGCAGGGTTTTTAATAATTTTTATATGGTTTACCTAGATAATATCCTAATTTTTTTAAAAACTAAAAAAAAATATATTTAACATGTTTAAGAAGTCCTGGAACGCCTGTAAAAGCATAATTTATATATAAAGTTATTAAAGTATAATTTTTACTAGAAAAAAGTAAAGTTTCTTAGCTTTATTATTAGCTAGGGTAAAATATTTATTAACCTAGTATAAAATTAAATAATTATTAATTAACTAGCGCTAATATTATATTATAAGTTATAGGTTTTTTTAGGGTTTATAAACTACTTTAAATAATTTATTAAAAAATATACTAGGGTAACTTACCCTATAATATAACTTTTAAAAAGTATGGTTAAAAGGTGTAAAAATAGCCCTTTTTTATAGCCGGATAATATATAAAAAGCTTTTAAAAGGGTTAAATTTACTTTTACCTAGCCTTTAGTATTATAGTATTTTAACCTAAAAAAAAAGATTTTTATTATTATAAATATATTAAATTTTACTATAACTAGTATTATTACGCAGTTAGATTAAAAAAAAACACCTAGTAAAAAAAAATAAAACTAGTAGTAGCTTATTACCTTTTACTTTTAATAGCTTTATAGACTAAAGCTAAAATATAAGGTTTATAATTAAAAACTACTTATAATTATTAAGTTTTTTAAAAAATAGTGTTATTACCTAAAGGGCTTTGCGTATTTTATATATATTTAATATAATTATAATAACTTATAGTACTTTTTTAAAACAAAGGTTTTAAATTAAAGGTAAGCTTATTAGGCAGAATTATTAATAGCCTATAACTTTAAAATTAAGTATAGGCCAGGAAGATTTAATTTAGTAAATATATTATTAAAGTACCTAAATTATTAAGTAAAAAATAAAAAGTATTAAGTTAGTTTACTCCTAACTTTATAAAAAAAGTTAAAGTTATTTTTTAACTAAACTAACACTAGATAGGCGCTAGAGGGCCTAGCTATTTTTTTAAAAAAAGGTTAAAAAAAGTATTAGCTCCTGGGGCTAATATATCTTAAGTTATAAATTATAAAAATAGCTTATAAAAAAAAACCCGCCGGACTAGCTATAAAACCCCTTTAATAAAAGTTACTTAAAGCCTAACATAAGAACACTTATACTAGCTATATTTAATAATAATTAAAAAAAATAATTTTAGTTAAAATAGGGCAGGGCTTTTATTTAAAGTATTAATATATAAAAAATAATTTTTTTTTTATTAGGAGGCTATTTATATCCCTTTTATATTTATATTATAGTATAAAATTATAAGGGTATATTATAATAATCTTTATATAGGCTATTTTAATTATAGGTATATTATTAAGCTACTTAAGCGCAAGTTTTAGTAAAAAAATTTTAATAAAAAAGTATAAAAGTATAT